CGCCAAAAAGTTTAAACCGCTTTCGACTTGCGTTCAATTTCATTTAATTACTTTGACGTAAATTCCGAAAGTTTATTATGGAAGTGAGGGGAGTGGAGGTTAAAGTTAACCCACTGCAAGCAGTCTATTTAAATTATCTGAAAAAATAAAAATCAGGCAACCTAATCATTGAAATATGCTTTAATTTATTTTCCAGATAAAGTATCTTTTAAAGATTTGTGTCTTAAAACGTACTAACTTACCTGTTGTGCAGAGGGTTAATCCTCATGATTCACTTTACAAGTCTAAAGACTTCGGGCCATTAATATTATCACAAAAAGTAAACAAAATAACGAAATCCCCAAAACAACAGTCAATAAATAAATACGAGAATAACAAAGCTGCTGATAATGCTCATGGGAACAGACTTGGAAAGTTTTCAGCATATGCACATAAATTCAGTATCTGTATAGTATTGAAGACTTCCCCGACTTGATATTGATAAATCCTAAGGGTAAACTTTAGCTACCCGTATATAAAGACAAGCTCAAGACGTTCTTATCGGTCTTATCAAGAACAGGAGGGTGCGATGCATAGAGAGGCTTGAGATAGAAGAGAAAGTCAGCATCGTCTTCGGGATCTTTGAGAGAGTAAAGATACATTTGAAGAGCTCCAGTCAACAAAGGAAATTCTGGACGAGACGTAAAGATGAATGAGTATCACAGATCCACGAATGCATATAGTAGGACTCAGGCCCGATATGGAAACTATCCGTATATATGTACAAATTGTTATATATGCAAATTTCAGTGCCAAAAGATAGTGCTCGGCGATAACAGGCCTGATTCCTATCTAAACTGTAACAGGTGCCCAGCAGACTCGAGAACGCGATCCCCGCTGGGTCCCGAGATAAAATTGATTGATAAGAGGGCGTGGGGGGTGGGAAAGTCGAGGGGGCTGTGGAAGTGGGGGGAGCGGCAAAAGAACACAAAGCTCAAACAAGAGAGCTTCACGCAGGAAAGCTTCACAGCAGCAGTAGCAGACACAGCGGAGGTTCATTGTTATTTTCTCTCCGGCTTGCGGCTCGCGGCTCGGCGTCTCCAGTTTCAATTTATTCAAATTGACATTACCGTTACCGTTACAGTTGCACTTGATGAGCCGGGCGGAGCGAACAGCTGACGCAGCGTGGAGCAGCGGAAGCCGAAGCGGTAGCCGAAGCCGGAGCAGAGCCACGTCCATAGCTTCATCCTGGCTCCACGACGAGCTGGTAAGTTGGAGCCTCTCAGTTGTGGCTGGACCGCCACCCGGCGATCGTCTTTCTCTCTCGCGTCAACTTTCTCGCATACCGAACTCTCACTGGCACCTTTTCACTTACACTCTCTCTCTGTAGCCTCCTCTCCATCTCCACCCACGTTATGTGTTTTTGTTGTGATTGTGACGCTACTTTCACAGTTTTTGTTACTATTACACAGAGAAAACCAAAATAGTTAATATGTATGGAAAAAATGTGATATAACTTGTATACCCAATATAAAGTGTTCTCGATTCCAATCCCAGAAACTATTTAAAGTTTTGTGTTGAACGCTGACCCAATTTTGTTAATTTCATACTGAAAACTAAATTGGCTCTTTTTTGGAATTTTTCTCTGTGTACTTTTGTTTTTTACATTGATGTTCTTTGTCTGTCATGTATCGCAATAATGCGGAGAGCTCTTTTTGTTTCATCAACCGTCTCAACGGGAATGCCAATGATGAACTGCAGCAGCCGGGAGAACATGAGCCCACTTCGGCACTCTTGGACTACTGCAAGCGGAAGGTGGGTGTGGTGGCCATGATGCCATCAACGATTACTTAACTACGAACCGTGGGAATAATAATTCTTTGCTCAATTTCTACCTTAGTTCCTCCGTCCGTATGTGGCCATCTTGACGCTGGTCGGTCTCAATCCCATCTCGACGGATATGAGCAATGTGAGGGCCTGCTGCAGTTACGTTCAGGCCTTAATGGTCCTATGTGTACTCCTGGTGGGCTATGTTCTCCGCTACATATGCGGCTATAGGTAAGTGTGGCTGCTTTGCGGGTAGAATCCTCCTAAACACCTTTCTCTTCACAGAGGCGACAGGGGCTTCACCAGCAACCGGGACATACGACCTATAAACAATGGAACTGATGGAGGAATACCTATCCCCAACACCATAGGAGAGCTGTTGTTCGGGTACATTATTCCCAGTGGCTTCAATCTCCTGGCCTTTGTATCTGCCGTGCTTGTCTGCAAAGTAATCGATCACGAACAGCTACAGAATCTCATTGAGAGGGTCTTCCTGATGTCCGCTAAGCCCAAGAGGCTGTGCCGAATGCTATGGTTATTTCTAGGAGTGGCGCTTGCACTTCTGGTTCTGCTCTTCGGCTACGCCTGCTGCGTGGTTGTGATGCAGCCAGCGCAGATTGTTAAAATATCCTGGCTGGCGGAAGTTCTAAGCGACTGGGAAGTGTGGCTACGTGTGAGTCTGCTGGCCACCATTCTTCTGCAGGATCTGGTGGAGGTCATTATTCTAAGCAACTACTACATCGAGTGCTACTTGTTGAGAATGCATCTCGAAACGTTGTCCCACAAGCTTCTAATGCACTCCATCGACTCGCTGGACTGGATGCGGGAGGTCTTGGAATTCCGAAAGCTCCTGGAAAGGCTAAATCAGCACGTATCGGTCCCGGTATGCTTCCTGATTGTGATGAATCTGGCATACGCGTTCGCGGGTCTCGTTTACTTGTTTAAGGACTTTGACTTTCACTATTGCGCCTTGAAGCTCGTCCTGCTGAACATTGCCAACGTGATGCTGTGGCTTTTCCTAGGCCTTCTCCCGTTCTTCGTGGCCTCCTCTGTCACGCGTGTGTGCCAAAATGCCCAGGCCAATGGGCATCAGATACGGGTCCGACCGTTTGTGTACCACAACACCTCCGCGGAAGATCTTAACTCGACGCTGTTGTTCGCCGCCTCGCTGGACATGTCGGCCAAACTCTTCCGGATGCCCATCCAGCCGAATTACCTCTGCTTCGCCATCCTCGTAGTGGTCATCGTGATCCTTACGCTGGGTATGTGCCTGAATCTCACGGCTCTGGGAAGAATATAACCAAGTACTTTTCTATGCCTATGTAAATTACAATAACAAAACACAATAGTATTTGACTAGCTTACAACTTGGCGATCTTTTTGTTGTCGGCTGCTTAGCAATTTATTTACAGTCAATGGATTCCGTCTACGAATTAGCTACTTATGTACTCTATGTTTAGTCTCAGTTGCGGTCCTCCTTCCTCGTCCTAATTAAAAGTATGCACTTTGGTTCCGATTGAATATGCCTCCACCTAGCCGGCTGTCCGAGCCGGTGCAGACCAGTGGCACCCGTCACCAACCCAGCCACGGGGGATGGTTGATCTTGGAGGGCGGGGTAAAGGTGAGGTTAACAGGTATGTTGATTAAGGCATGCACCCTTTTCAGTCGCTCCAGGGTAGACCGGATGATAACGCCGTTCTTGCCAAGAAGGAAGCCGGCCGGTATGTTGGTATCTCGGTTTGATTTGTCGTGGATCATTTCTATATAGTGCTCGAATTCTGGCGAATTGGGATTGTATTCGGTGATTATGGCACCCACGGCACCCGCCGCTTCCGCTTGAAGCGTCTTTGTGAGAAAGGAACATTCCCTGGAAAAATACTATCGTGAATACTACAGAAAATGAACCTCCTTATATATAATTATTAATCAAGGCAAGGAAAATATATTAGATAAGCATATCAATTGAGAGCCCAGAGATATGTGACATCACAATTCATATAGAGGCCAAGCCCAAGACGCAGATAAGTGCAAAGGCTTTTCATAAAGATTTGATAACTAAAGAAGTGTCATTTAATGAATATTGAAACTGATTTTACCCTCGATCGATGAGGGCGACCCCGCCACTGATTTCCCGAGCGTTCCGAATTGTCTGGCACGCACCAGGGGGATCCGCAAGTACTAGCGGGATTCCTTCAAGACGCTGCGAGAACGTGACTCCAAAATCCTTGGCCGGACGCAACCGGTACGTGTACTCCAGATCCGTGGGCGAGAGGATTTCGAAAAACACGTCACCCGCTATTATGTCCTGCGTGGTGATCGGTATCGAGATGGTGGTGCTGGCTCGGATGCATCGGCTCAGTGTGGCGGCAAGCACTAACCAAACGATTAGCATTTTGGCCACGCACGCATAACTAACAATAATATTTGTTGCAAAAAAAAAACAAACTAATATTTCCTTTGACTTAGAGATGGTAGGCAGCCCATGCGCAACTATCGGATGGACCATAAGTGTCAGCACTAGCCGGGAAAAATACTCGATAGACTTTGCTTCCCAACTTTTAATTATTTTTGATTTATGATATTTTAGCCCTAATGTAGCCTAATTGAAGGTTGACTCTCACATTAAAATAACTTTCAAAGAAATTTCTAACCAAACTTATCATTTTTGTATCTTGTGCTTAAATAAATATAAAAATCAATAGTATTTGATTTCTTATTGTGTGTTTTCTAAATGCGATTGCTTGCTACTTTTTAAATAGGAAAAACATACAAAATGTAGGATTTTACAACGGATTAGAGTAAAAATTTGGCCGTCTGGCAGCACTAAATGTTTCTAGTTATCGGGTCTGGCAAATACCCCTAATATATATATCGATATATAGCAATCATCGCATTGACACCTTGGTTACGAATGCGCAGAAAGGTATGATTTTGCACAAACCAAATTTGGTTATGTATTATCACATATGTGGAAAATCTACATTATTGGGATACAAATAAAATTGTATATGTTTTTTAGAACAAGAAAAAATTATGAATCACAAGTATGCTTTGCAAAATTAGTCGAACTTCAATATTTGCCAAACCAACAGTCCCCAATTTCACTGCCTATTCACCGCAGCTGAAACCAATGTGCACCGCGTGGAGGGTCAGCGTTGCAATCGATGCAATCAAGAGCAACTCTGTCTAGAGGCCGATAACTGGACCAGGTACTAGATACTCTGTCGCCATTTTAACTTTCGTTTTTTGGCGTCGAGGCAAAGAAATCTGCCGGATCCTGTGGTTTTTCGCATCCAGCGCAAGCAGTGCCAGGCAACGTGTGTGTGGAAGTGGAAGCGGTAGAAGTGAGAGGAACTAGCGAGCGATTAGGAGACCAAGTTCAGATCGAGTTTGAGAGCAAGATGTCGATGTCTGCCACGTGCTACAAGTGCAACCGGCCGGGCCACTTTGCCCGGGACTGCAGTCTCGGCGGCGGTGGACCGGGAGGCATTGGCGGCGGCGGTGGGGGCGGCGGTATGCGCAGCGATGGCGGCGGCATGCGTCGCAACCGCGAAAAGTGCTACAAATGCAACCAGTTCGGGCACTTTGCACGTGCCTGCCCCGAGGAGGCCGAGCGCTGCTACCGCTGCAATGGTATTGGCCACATCTCCAAGGACTGCACCCAGGCAGACAATCCGACCTGCTACCGGTGCAACAAGACCGGACACTGGGTCCGCAACTGCCCGGAGGCGGTCAACGAGCGCGGCCCGGCCAACGTGTCGTGCTACAAATGCAACCGCACCGGTCACATCTCCAAGAACTGCCCGGAGACCTCGAAGACTTGCTATGGCTGCGGCAAGAGTGGCCATCTGAGGCGCGAGTGCGACGAGAAGGGAGGACGGAACTAGGACAGACGTCCCTAGTAACCGTATCCGTAAAAATCATCGAAAGCGGAAGATTTGAACACGAAGAAGCAGAAGCAGAAACCACATAAAAACGAAAAATCAATTTGCTACAACATTCACAAAGCCAGCCAACATCAGAAAGAATAAGAATAAGAAGAAGAAGAAAAAGAAGAAGCGACAGCAGCACCCAAGTCAAGATCAACCAACACCCCGCCCCCCAACCCATCACCACCCACAACCCACACTCCACACACAGCACATACACACACACACAACATGCAGAATATAACCATCATCCAACGAAACTCTTGCAACATCTCTGATTCCATAAGCTGAGCCTGCAGCGCGGTGCCAACGTCCCAAACTGAGAAACTTTCTTCCGTGGAAGAAAGCCAGCAGAATTGACCGAGGAGACAAGCAGAAGGAGCTACAGAAGAATCTTCGCGGAGTAAAAGCTCTGTGGGGAGAATCGACGAAATATTAACCGAAGAAGCCGACGATAGCCAACGGCAGCTGTGCAGCCGAGAGAGCAGATGACGCCGATGAAGAGGAAGACGGCGAAAAGAGGAGGAGGAAGCGGAGAAGACACGAATGCGACCCAATTTGTAAGATGAGAAGACTAAACCGCAACAACAACAACATCCATAAGAGAACCCAACAAGAAGCAAACAACTTTATTATAATTATATATGATTATGCTGCAAAAAGTGTTTGAATTTACTAATTACATTATAACGAATGGAATGAAACTATATAAGAATATATAAAGAAAAAAAAACCTTTAAAAATACTATAAAAATCGATCCTATTAGGAGTTCCACACCCAGAAAGCGTAAATAAAAAATTATAAAAAAAACAGAAAAGCAAAGAAGCATGCAGGAGAAGATCACGTTACTACCATCCATCCATCCAGCTGCTGCCGGCGAGCCCTAGGAATTCTGCACGATGTGCTATGTACCATCACCTCATCCACCACCTTTAACTACCTACATACCTAGACTCCCCATCTTACCTACCTACCTAGCTTACCATATTCCCACCCTTCGACATTCATCATCACCACCATGATTCTCAAGACGAAGCTGAAGACAGCAAGGGGGCAGCATACAAGAGCAAAGCAAAAGCAGACAAAGAACAAGACCTACATGACGGAGAACATCAACAATGGTAAACTGAACCGAATCGAACGACGCTGGAGAGGATGAGCTAAGCTAACCAGATGAAGAAGAAGAAGAACAAACACACTCAGATTGGTGGGAAGCGGATCGAGAAGAAGAAGAAACAGCACACACACCTTCAGTTGGACGGGACACAAAGATGCGAAACCTATGTACGATGAAGAAAATGGAAATTCAAATATCACTGTGATTGTTTTTTAATTGTAAATTAAAATGCTGGAGCTGCTGATTTGAGACAAAAAAAAAATAATAATTCAATGGCGTGCGTTTTTTTCTTTATTCAGTGGCAGGAGAGGGAGAGAGAGCGATCCCCACAGGGTTGTCCCCCGCATTGTTTCTCTCACTGGCTCCAAGGCAACCAGTTTGCCGGCAAATTGCAGCTGCGAACACATGGCGCGGGCAGCTGATGGGGGCCCTCCACCTATCTCGCGCTCACTCTCGCTATCTCCGGCACTCTCTGTGAGTCAGCCTGGCAAAATTTTGCCATTGTCTGTGGTCTGGTACAGTCGTGGAGAACACGCTAGTAACGTTTGCTCTCTTTCTTGAATTAATTCTTATTATTTAAATATTAAATTTAATAAATAAAGGGGCATGGCCATTACTGACCATAAAAAAAATAAAAATATGCAAAGACCAACATGGCGTATGCGTAATATGTTACATGTAGGCCTGTACAAAATGCATTTAATTATTTAAAAATTAAGAACATCTTTTATTTATTTGATTAATTAAAAGTATCCTTGTCTTCCTGCCCTGCGCTGTGCTGTTTAATGTACATCCATGTGTATATACACGCATACCCGCGCTAAGTGAATATGTATCGTTGCGAAGTACAGTCGCCGATAATGGTGAAAACTCGCAGGCAAGATATGTACATACATATGTATGTATGTATGTATAAAAAAGAGAGAGGGGTGCGAGATGGGGTGTAACCGGCAAAACTTCAACTCCGCGGAACTGCACTTGGCAACAAGTCTCCCGCCGCTTGAGGGTCAAGGTCAGCGCGCTTACCCATCAGCTGCTGTGCGCATGTGTGGCAGAGTAGAGGATGCTTGAAAGTCGAAGTCGCAGTTGGAGTTTGGAGCCGGACCCGTTGCCGGTGCCGGGTGCCCGGGGTTAGGGGACTGAAAAGAAGAAGAACCAGCAGCCGGTGGTAGTGGTGGTTTCCCAAGCCGGTTAGGCCTCTTTTTGCGCGGCTCACCACCATATTTTATTGTGGTGCGATCATGGGGTTTATAAAATAATCGCACCACTTAATAAGGACCAGATGCGAGGGCAGTTCTAAAAGTTCTTGAATATTCCATTTCTCTGGAAAGGAGACTTTTGCAAAACCTATCATTGTATTTGGAGTTGACCAGAAACTGCTTTGGAAAACTGTGTACAAAATTTTCATTGAAAATAATATATATTTTTGAAATAAAAAATAAATATGTCCCGCAATAAGGGTGGTAGCGATAAATGCGCCTGCCGGCTGGTCAAGGAGGTTAACCAACTAAAGAGTAAGATCTGGTGGGGAGTACTGTCAGCCAGAGTTACATATATAGTCCTCTTGCACCACAGCCGTCGTCAATGCCCAGAGCAAGGTCCTGGCCAAGCTGGTGCGCCAAATGAAGGAAGGCTGCAAGAAGAAGGACGAGGATGAAGATGGGTGCACCATTTGCGGTCTGAATCCTTGCATCAAATGCCTGAATCCGGATGTTCTCTACCATCTTGGACTGAATACCGATACCACGGACTTTCCAAAGGTGTTCGGGGATGTAAAGGTGAGATATGAAGTCCCCGGTATCAAGAGTAATCTAAATCCATTCCTGGTTATCCAACCAGTTCGTTTGCATGGGCGGGACACCGGGGCGGATGGAGGCCTTTGCCTATTATGTAATGCAGGAGATAGGACTGAAGCTGAATCCGGCAACGAAGCTCACCGACATGGCAGAGTCCGGTAAACGTTACGGCATGTTCAAAGTGGGACCCGTTCTCTGTGCCAGCCACGGCATGGGCTGTCCCTCCATCTCGATCCTGCTCCACGAACTCATCAAGACGATGTACCACGCCAAGTGCAAAGATCCAGTCTTTATTCGGATGGGAACATGCGGAGGTCTTGGCATTAGTCCCGGCACTGTGGTGATCTCCTCAGAGGCGGTGAGCGCCAAGCTAGAGCCCGTCCACGAGATAATAGTGCATGGCAACAGCGTGCTGCATCCCAGCCAGCTGGACGAGGGCTTAGCCAATGAAATCAAGTCGTGCCACGATCCCTGCCAGGACAAGTTCGATGTGGTAATTGGACGGACCATGTGTGCCCACGACTTTTACGAAGGCCAGTCCCGGTTAGATGGTGCCTTCTGCGAGTACACGCCCGACGCCAAAATGGCCTACCTGGAGCAGTTGCAGGCTCAGGGTGTTACGAACATCGAGATGGAGAGCCTGGCGTTCGCGGCCCTAACCAGTCGGGCCAACATCCGGTCAGCTGTGGTGTGTGTCGCCATTCTTAATCGCCTGGAAGGAGATCAGGTAATGAATATGGTATATATTGGAATTATTCTACTTATCGGCTCGTCCTTTTAGATTACAACACCGCATGACATCCTAAGCGGATTTGATAAGCGTCCTGCTACCCTCGTTGCTCGCTATATAAGAAAAGTTCTGTACCCCGTCGAGGACTCTGATGAGGCATCCGAGGCGGAGTCTGAGGAAGGTGGCGGAGGTGCTGGAGACAGCAAGCCACCACCACCTGCCGAAGAGGAAGCTGAATAGGGCTTCCAACTCCTTTAACTAACCAGTAGCATATGTTAAACAAATGTAATTTTTATGAAAAGTACCAGGTAGCAAACTATAGAGTATCCTTTCAGTTCAATGGTATCGACTTTTATTTAATTTTCAATTACAATTTTAGGAATTTATGCTACACACTTGATAGGTTTCTTCGGGTATAATCATTTTTGGTTAGTAGTATAGCTGTGGTGGAGAACCTTTGGGCGCGGAGGCTAGGAGACTCGCTTAACGCTAAACTAGTCACGAAATGAGTACCATAATTGGCCGGGTCATAGTGCACCCGAAACTCTACAGAATCACAAACAAAGTACACAATAATGCATATATAGCTAATATCATCATAATCAGTATCATAATCGGTATTCGTATTAAGTTATAATATAAACTAAAACATGAGGTTCTGTTCTATGGATTCTAATTCACGGTCGCCATGCCTGTGGTGGCGAGTAATGGCTTCATCGATGTCTCACTACTTCTCCGACTTGTTGCGTGTTTTGGCCTGACCGGAGACAGTTGCTCCACTCATTTGAGACTTTTCCGATTTTCGGCTGCTGGATCTGGGCAAGGTGGTGCAGCTAGCAGACATGGATTTGTCCTGCAAAAACAAAAAAAGAGTTCTCTTAAAAAGGTGCAACACTTGGGAGTCTATGCCAAGAAAAACAATCCAATAAACATGCTGGAAACTCTTAAATCTGAAAGGTTAGTAACGCAACTGTACAAGGGAATATGCCATTTTTGGGGGCCATGAGAGTTAGGGGGGCGTATCTGGCGTTGCCCGGCGATGAGCGAAAGTAAACACTGGGATGATGAGAGCTGCGAGCTGGGCTTACTTCAAATCTGCGTTTCTCTGGCCACCAGCTGCTCATCCTCCGCCGATGGCGGCGGCTGATGGCTGGGATTAGCTTTGTTACGCAGCACATTAGCTTTGATATTCTTCAACAGTTGTCCGATACCTGACTTGCGCTCCAAGCTGCCCGTTGATGTTTGGCTAATGGCATCTGGCTGGGGGCTCAGAGAGTGCCTTTTTGGCGGCAAGGGTGGCGGCGGAGCTCTCCCCTTGCCGTGGCTGGCCTTGGGTCGCAGTAGGGGCGATGGTGAGGCTGAAACGGAAGCTTCAGGCTCCAACTGCGCCCGAAAATTGTGCTTGATCTCCTCCAAGGTGTCGCGCAATTCACGTGGCGACATTGGCCGCTGACGTTCTGGTAAAAACGGATCTGGCTGAGATGCTGAAGCGCTCAGCACCAGCACAAAGGGATCTATGGGGGGCAGGACATTGGTGGCACCACTAGAGGTTGGTTTTACTTCTTCAGGGATGGATAATGGCGCAGGGGATGGTGTCTCCTCCTCCTTTATTGGTTCGAAAACTGAATCATTTTCCTTGACACCATCAGAGTCATTGGTAGGACCTTCTTCTACCAAAGGCAGAGCTTCATAAAAGTCCTCATCTTCAGGATCTTCCAATTCCTCCACCTCCTTGTCATCATCTTGTTTCTTAGTTTCTTCCAAAAGCGGTAGTTTCTCGAAGCTCTCCACAATTTTGAGAGCCTGTAAACCTGGAACAGATCTTTCCATCATCTGCGCACCTTGGTAATAAAGCTGGTTGTCCAAGAAGACCTCGTCCCTCATCTCCTCTAGCAACTGTTAACCAACACCAATCTCTAAACGGATTAAGGGATTCTCAGAAATAAAGACAAACTCAGTTCCTACCTCGTTGCGTTTTGACTTGGCTCGTGCCTTGGAAGCATTCGTCATGGAGGAGGTGCGGCTGAGACCACTAACGGGTTCGGCACTCGAGTAGCCGGAGCTGATGTCATCCTGGCTGCGAATGTTATAGCTGCAAGTGGGTTAGATTACTAGGTGACTAAACACATTGTGGATATACTCACTTGAAATCGCCCGTATTCTTGGAAGTCACATCCACCTCGGTGAAGTACATGCCAGTGGAGTGACGCGTGCCACTGGCCGATCGGCCAACTGGAGTTTGATTGCGTGGCCGCAAGATCCTTCCTCCGGTGGATGGCGAACGCATTACCACCGCCGATGAGACCATCGACGACATCATCACATTATCCAACTCGTCCTGGGTGCGATGCATATCCGGCTCGCTCAAGTCGCTGAGGCTGTAGCTCCGCTTGATCGTCTGCACCAGATTGCCGCCGCCCTTCGGTGTGGGACCGAAGTCGGGTGGAAGTAGTGAGTGGATTGTAAAGCACAAGATTTGGCATTTAAATGATTTAATCGCAATTAAAACTAATCGAGAACTAAGGTCTAGACAGTGCGCTGGAATAGTGCTTGTGTGTAAAAATACATATATAAATAAAAACTGCAAGTGGGACGACAGGGTTAAAATGACAATATGTGAGAGTATCGCTGAGTGTTTCAAATTCGATCGCTGAGAGTATATAGGAGTGGTTAACACCAAGTGGCACACGGCTTAATCGCCCTCGACATCCACATCTGGGGTGGGATCGCGCAGCTTGCGACGCGAGCGAATCACATTGGTGGCGCTTGAGGTGCTGGGTTCCGATTCAGACACCTTTTGGCCACGCTTCCCTCCAGTCCTGGTCGAGGTAGCAGCTGCCGCTCGTCGCGTCTGTGTTTTTCGAACTGGCAAGTCCCGCAGGCGAGCTGCTCCGCCATCGCCCATGGCCACATCCTCCTCAGTCTCCTCCACCACCTCGCGAATAACCAGGCGTCTGGTCTCCATTCGCGGCTCGAACTCAGCCTCCGTGTAGCTGTCGATGCTGCCCAGCGAGTTGGCCCGTGGCAGCCAGTTCTCTGTGCTGTCTAGCATGTCCCGATCTCTGGCCAAGTCGTTGGCGGAATGGGAGTTCTGCAGGCCGCGTCCGTTCGCCGGTGCAGCCGTGGTCAAGGCAATGGTCTAGCGGTTAGCAAGTTAGTGGCAATCGGGCGGTACAGGCAGGTTTAGTTGGGTGCAGGTTTGGTTTTTTTTGGTTTTGATTGTGAATTAAATGTAAAGAAACGTAAGTGAAGAAACGAAAAAAGTTAATTAAAAAAGAGGCAAACGCAAAAGTCTTAAATTGAAATGAATTGCAGCTGGGGCACATACACATATAAGTACATATATGCTTGTAAAGGGGGTATACACAACACACGCTCAAGAATTGTCTCATGCCCCGCATCTATTTATACTTATATGCCCTACCCTCGGATCGGATTGGATCGGAATTGGAATTAGAATTGTGCAACTGGGCAACAAAGGCGATGGCCGGGAGAAGTCTCCACTGAATGCAAATGGGAGAACAAGGAGTGTCGCGCCACATGACAACAAAAAGAATTATTTTCGAGGACAGTGGCATTATTCCCATGTGAGAAACGAGTTCCTTTGTTTAAGGACAAAGAAAAGAGTAAGTGGATCTTGTTAGGTTAAGGAAAGGGCTACATGACTAATTCTATTGTTTGGTTTCTTATGAGATAGGGCATAAACTTCTAGAAATAGACATATTTATTTTATAAAATTTGACCTACATCAACTACAGCATTTATGAACTGCATTTTCCCTAAAATGTAGCCTGTCCAGAATGCAGCCCCAAGTGTTTTTTGGCCCACATCTCTGAATTGTTTACAAACAGACGGGTAGCTGGGAGATCTGGCATGGATTTGCTCAGTTTTTTTGTTCAGTTTCAGTTTTATTACAGTATTTCAACATGGCAATTTATCTTCTAGCGTGTATCTAGTATATATCTAGTGATCTAGCTGCACAGAGAAGAGAAACACACTAAAAACTAAATCGAAACAAACACGCAAATGGCACAAAAGAGCATTCAATTCTAGGCGTACATAAACTAAATAATATTTAAAGTAAATGTTAAGAGAAGGCGAACTAAAGATGATGATGAAGCGGCTGGGCTGACTGGCTGCCTGACTGCCGGATGATGCTGCGGATTCCGCTGGCCAGTTTGGCGATGATTAAGATGAGTGCGCCGAGGGGCGTTGCGCAAATATTTCGAAAATCGAATATAGAACAGCTGAAGCTGAGATGTTTGTTTGTGCCGCTCATTTTATGCAACGACGCTGGAGGCGATCGAAAATGGTCCGAATGAATGAGGTTGAGCGGGTGAGATGGTAAGTGAGTGAGTGTGTGTGTGTGTGTCAGTGGTGATGGCTTGTTTTGATGGAGGTTTGTGTGGGGAGGATTACCTTTATGGCCGTCTGCATGAGCACATTGGTGGCATAGTTGACTCCCTTGGAACCCAGCTGCAGCACCGCCGAATAGCCGCGCTCCTTGGCCTGGTTCACGTACTCATCAATCTCCTGCTCAAAAAAAAAACGAAAAGTATTTGTGCTCAGTACAAAGAGATAGAATAAGTGAAAGGGCAACCCACCTGTTCGTGGCGCGTCAACATCGGGTGCACGAACTTGCGATAGAGAGTGGAACTGCCTCTAGTGGCCGGCGAGAGCAGCCAGAAGACGAGGGCCACTTTGATCTCATAGTAGAACGGCAGCCAGGAGAAGAATATGTCAGTAAAGGTTTCAATGCAGGTGAAAAATGCAAAAACAATCCAGTACATCATCCACTTAACCTGAGAGATCAAGAAAAATTAGTTAGTCTTTGAATCGAGATATAATATAGACCAAAAATAATGATATACGATAGTTAATAATTCATAATTAAGATCGTGGCAGTATTTACATTATAACCTACATAACACTGCCAAAAAATTATATAGATTCTTGCTATATGTAGATCTATTCTTAGGGAATGGGAATTCGTACAATTATTTTTGGTCTCTTTAAGATTACGCCATACTCACATATTCCTTGACATCCTTGGTCCTGACGGCCTTGTACGAGGCATAGGCCGGGTAGAGGGTGCCGCAAAATAATCTGAAAGCGGGAAACAGTAAACTCTGGGCACAAGTACGCGGCGACAGAAAGATGACGATCAGCGAGCAGATGCACGCCGTGTTGAAGGACAGACAGGGCAGAGGACAGCGCTGCAGCAGCTCCAACATCCGGCCCAGGGCGTTCAGGTTCTGCACCACCTTGGGAGCGGACTTGGATGTGGGCTGCTCTACGATAAAGGCACCTCCACCGTATTCATTGTCCGTATAGTCACTGTCCAGCGAGCTGAGGGAATCCCCGATCTGGTATAAAGGGTACTGAGCCCGTTGCTGTTGCTGCTGCTGGGTGTACAAGAATTTTGGATAGACGGGGACCACATCCTCCTCGAAGACGAGCTGCTGCTGCTGTTGCTGCTCCTCGAGCGAGTAACTGCGTCCGTAGACACTGCCCGGCGGATGTCGTAGGCGGCGGACATTAACAGCTGGGCGCTGATAGAAAAGCGGCTGCGCCAGCGGCTCCTGGTGATAGATTGGCCGGCTCATGGCGAAGGCAATGTCTCATGGCATTGCCTGTAGTGCAGGTCGCGGTCCGAAACGTAAAGTTCCTGGCCGCAAGAACGCCGAGCAGAGACTGCCTGCTGGCCTGGCCGACGGAGAGTTCGACGGATCGTCTAACGCTCAGCCGGGGGGTCTATTAATAAATACACGCTCGGGTCTCGCGAGAACGGCGGCAGCAGCAATGTTTACACGGAGGAATGTCCCGTAGTTGGGATCTCGTGTACAGAAGCGTTCAAAGAAATAGTGTGTCGGAGGGTTGGAAACTCAGCTCTTTTTCTAAAAAATATTAGAAACGGAGGAAGTGTTTGGAGTCCTGTGTACTTTCATTTGAAAAGTGATGGATCCGAACAAACGTACTTGATTGTTTGAAATGTAAGTGGTTTAGATTTTCTATCTGATGAGTCACTTTAATCTGGACGCAGCTGTGGGCACGGAAAGCCCCAAACGTAAGAGGTGAAGTGCCAATTTAAAGGCGATCTATAAATATTGAGCTACAATAGCCACCATTTTGCACGAAGTCACAAAATAATGAAGATAGTAGCCGGGGTCCCCAGGCAGACCCCAATTCCCGCTCCCGACATACATAAGCCCATATCGGGCTGACGAGGCAGACGAGTGCGCCGGCCTCGGGCCTTGGGGACGGCATAAGCTTACACTTACAAGTTGCAACTCCAAATTAGGAGTTCAATTGGGGGCTACGCACACAGCTGCAAGTGAACGGTACTCGCGGCGGCAGCTGATTAATAAGCAGAACAACAAATATAAACAAACAATCGGCCAGGCAATAGCAATCACCAAGTGCCAACCACGCTCGAGAAACCACGGAAATCAAAACCAGAAACCTAAAAAAAAAAAAAACAGTCAGAAGCGTGACGCCCACACACAATTAGGAATCACTGCCAGCAACCGCAGAAGCGATGACTTTCGATGAGCTTCTCCGTTTGGAGGCCGAGCTGAGAAAAAAGTTTTTGGGGGTCAGCAGCGCTCTCACTCGCACATATGGGTTAATCCACACGGACATGGGGAGGACACGGACCCGTTCGTTGCACCGTTATTGGGCCATTCGTTGGGGATTTTATTACTCACATAATAAGCCGCGAAAAGAGACTGCTAATCATCTTGAAAGCCCAGTTGGTGTCCTTCGATTGCTCACTGTCCTGGAATGTTATTGTGGTCACAGCTTCCTCCGCCGAACCCACTCGATAATTTCCTTTTTATTGTTTCGCCTGACAACCAAATTTTGAAGTACATATGTCACTCCAGCCTTTGATTTCTTTGTAGTTACAGCTCCTGCTTGCTGGGATCGTTTTCAGATGGAGGACTTCAATTTTTAATTTGGCTTTAAGTGTACAACGCAATTTTTAGCACCGTGTTGCACAGCCACTTGAAAAATGTGACTACTCGCCCGCTTTGCTTCTGATATTAATTCGACTACATGTTCCTTTTAACGTTTCATTGTGAAAATCCAACAGCGTTAGTGCACTCCATTGCCCGCGAACGAAACTTTGCTTTTGTTTAATAAAACAAAAATCGCTCGTTGGACAGAGATAGACGAACAACAACAAAACCCCCGAGAAAAAGCATCTGTTAGTATCGATAGATCTATCGATAACACATGTATGTGTTACAGCGATAGTATATAAATTATACTTTTTTTTTTTAATAAAGGATACTGCTCTTTTAACTAATAGTAAAAAAAAATAAAAATTAATAAAAATTAAAAATGGAAAACCAAGACCACTTTATATATCATAGTTGGGAATTATTTTCTGGTTTTAGTGCTGCCAGATGGGCAATAAAAAAAGAGGCGCGAAATGTGACAGCTGGTATTTTCTGTTTATGAACTAGAAGTCACTCTGCCGGTTTGCAAACGCCAAATTTAACAAAGTGCCATAACTTTGGCGAATTAAAGTAAAAAAAACGCTAAAATGGCGCAGAATGCACCAGACTGCAAGGACACACAGGTACATCGACTATCCAGAAATAATTAGCTCAGAAAACTAACCTCTTCATCTCCGTAGGACTTTCAATTCAAGTTGCACGACAAATTTGTGGCGTTCAAAAAATGCGGCGAGCCTAGAAGCAATGTGAAACTGCTAGCTATTTCCAGTAGCCGCGGACTGTTGTTTGCAGGGAACCCAACGCTGCCCGAACTGAAGGGTAACATGGAGAACCTACATTGCATTAAAACAAAGCTAACCGATTTGCTTTTTAGTAATTGTACTTAAAGATCTGGTCAATGCCAAGTCCACGGATCGCGAGCCCCAGGCGCGCCATGTCCCTCTGCCCAGTGTGCCAAATTATCTATCATGCAGCTCGGACGGAAACCTGTTGGCTGTTAATCATACTCAGAATGGCACAAGTCTTCTCAGCATCTATGCAGTTCCTTCGTTCATGGGCCCCGGCGTTCGGCCAGTGTACAGCATAAGATTGGCCCCAGAAGACTATGTTCATGCGGTTCAATTGCTATGGAATCCGGTGCTACCCAACAGCCTTGCTGTGGTTCTAAACAACGGAGCTCTCGGAATGTATGCTCTCAAAGAGGGTGGCAATTTCGAGCTCCATTCTCTGGACAAGAGTCATCAGGTGAAGTGCGGCTGTTGGTCGCCCAGGGGTAAGCAGATCGTTCTGGGTTTTCCCAGTGGCAAGCTGCAGCAGTTCAAGCCCGACTTGACGCCCGCCAAGACAATAGAGTGCCCGCCAAACGTCCACGATGCACCATTCGACACCATTAGCATCCAATGGCTATCTACGTACCAGTTCGCTGTTATCTTTCTGCAACACGGCGAGGACTGCAATCCGTCATTATACATACTAAATGCGCCCAAGGCAGGACCACCTTCCTACATTAACTACTATGACATCTGCTATAGCATGAACGGACCGAGAAATCATCAGTTTCTCTTCAACCACGTGCCGCAGTGGAATGTGCTCTTAGTAACCTCTGCCAATGGCGTCGAAGTCGGAGTTATGGGTACATCTGAGGCGGGCGAAACGCCCTCTTGGCAACAGTTCAACTTGCTGGACGAAGCCCGTATTGAATTACCGCTGAACGAGAAAACCAAAGAGGAGACTTTTCCATTGGGCTTTGTTTACGACACCTCATCGACGCACCAGCTCAGTATCAACGACAAGAAGCTTCAAGCCATGCCCATGGTGCATGTGTTGGGCTCAGATGGCGCCCTCCTGTCGTTTAATTTTTTGAACTTGCTCCCGGGAGCTGTGTCTGTTTGCTCGCCGCCTCCGCCAGTGGCTGATACCTCGGGACAGTTTCGACCCCTCAGCACTCTGGTGGCCAATGAGAAGAATGAAGAGGTCGAGCAGCAAACGGTGGCTGGTAGTCCCCCGCCTAAGGATCTCCCTACGGCGGCGTCTTCAGATATATCTTTTGCCTTTACACCAAACACAGTTACTTCGACTCCAGCTCCGGCTAAGGAGAAGCAAGCTTCACTTTTCTCCGGGTTTGGAACAACTGCGGCTAATCCTCCAGCTGCTTCGCAGCTTACTTTTGGAGCTGCTCCAGCGGCTCCGTTGAGCTTCGCGGCTCCAACTTCGACAGCAGCTAAGCCAGCCTTAGGATTCGGAGGACTGGGTGGATCTACAACAACAAACTCCCCAATGAGCTCTATTTTTTCTTCAACTGGAGGAAGTACTTTCGGTGGTCTGTCGTTGACCAAACCAGCTGCACCGACAGGGCCAGTAAATCCACCTGCGCTGGAAAAAAATATGCCGTCCGCACCAGTGGCTGCCGTAAGGAAGCCCCTTTATACAGTTCCTCCGACATTTACTCCGCCTGCTGGAAAACCCGTAGCGGTAGGCACTCCGCTTTCAGCTGTTAAAACTGAGGAGACCTTCAAGGTGGATGATACTGAACCCATTATTAGAGACATGATTGCTCTGCAAATCGAGTCCTTTAATCAGGATATTCAAAAACAGAAGGATCAGACCAAAACTTTGCTAAGCAATGTAAGTGCATGACAGTTTCTTGTGGGTATACTCATAAATATTTCCTTGAACGCCGCAGATTTCCGCTCCTTCGGCTTTGAAGTCGTATGCCAAGCGACTAGATGATCTGCAGGAACTGAACGAGCAGGCTAAGGACGTGGAGTTCGAACAGGACGTACAGAGTCTTCGGCAGGGCCTTAATGAAGCCTACGCCATTGTGGCCGAATGCCGTGCCAAGTTAGAGATGTACAAGAATCCAGAGTAAGTGTAAAAATGGTGCGATATAGTGTAGGATTACTTTAAAATATCTGTACTTGCTTTCAGCATTACACGATTGATGAACTCCAGCTCCTGCGACCATGCTGGCCGTCGAATGCTCTTACGCCTCCAAAGCTATGTGGGTGCGAACGAAGCCCAGCTGCGTCTCGTACAGCAAAATGTCGATTTGCAGTGGGAACAGTTACAAGACGCATTGCGGCGCAACTCCAAGTCACGGATGCACATGCCCTTCTTAGAGGGCATTTACCAGCGTCTAACCCGGCTACAGAACCAGACCTCCGATCTGCGCATCGTTCAAAACAACATTAAGACTAAGCTCAAGGAGCGAGGTCTTCTGCAAGCGGCGCTGCTCGACCAGGAGAAGAGTCGCAGTCGCACCACTGAAGCGTAAGTACAGGCAAGCAACTTGTAAGGCATTCTAGTAAAACATTTTCCAATATCTGTAGGGTTGAAACCCTGGCAGACTCCATACTGTCGATGAGTCTCCGTCAGGTGGTGGACTCCAATGCTGCCAAGCTCACCCAAGAACGACTAAAGAAGATCCGTCAAGTAGTGCAGCATCAAAAGATTAAAATAATATGCCCTCAGCGACCGGATCGCGTCGGTATCAAGTCAGAGGTAATATTGGAAACCAAAACTAAACAAGAACTGATCAAGAAGGCGGCAGCCAAGCCTTCAACCGCCAACAAAGCTATACAAGCTGCAGCAACGGCTCCCGTTTTTGCGGCACCTCCGGCAGCTATGCCAACTCCGACTCCAGTTGCAGCTCCGGCTCCTGGCTTACCTACAGTTTCAACTCAATTGCCAAAACCTATGCCGTCCAAGCCAGTTGCTGTCGAAAAGGCGGGAATCGGATTGATTTCAGGTGCCCCAGTGAGCAGTACATTTTCGTTTAGCCCAAGCAGTCCCTTCGCCAAGACTTCTGCCATTACAAACACCACAACTTCATTGAGCTCAGGAGAAGCTGCCAAACCCGGTTTCCCTATGTTTGGGGGACTAAGCAGCGGGACTTCCAACTTCAGCTTTGGTGGAAATGACCCCAAGACACCGCTTTCATTCGGAGGTCCATCATCAGAAGGGACCGCAAAGTCAAACCTTTTCCAAGGAGTGGGAAAGGATCAGCAGGTCGCACCAAAACCTACTCCAGTACTAACCAAGCCCAGCGAACCGGCAGGAATGGTGGAAACGAAATCCACCAACGATCCGCTAAAGGGGGCACCCCCTTCAACACCCAAATCAGACACGGCTGGCCAAACGTTTGGTTTTCCAGGATTCAAGGCAGCCGGTGGTACTGCGGGAAGTGCTGCTGGATCTGCTTTCAGCTTTGGCGGATTGGGCTCATCCTTGGGCTTTGGAGGAGCTTCTTCTCCAGCAACAACATCCGCTTCAGCTGGTCCATTTAGTGTCTTATCGACAGCATCAACAAAACCTAGTGTCAGCGAATCATTTTTGACCACCACCAGCAGCAATAGCAGCAGCAGTAGCAGCATCGTATCCGTCGCCAGCAAGCCCGCGGCTCCAGCAGCAGAAGCTTCGCCGAAAGCCCCTCCAGTTTCAAGCAGCTCCGATCCTGTGGGAGGTCTTTTCGCTTCAGTTAACATTTGTAAGCCAAACACCAAGGAAACTTCAGGAGGTAAGTCACAATGTTTTTAAAATAATTGTTTCGAATAAATCTTCAAAAAAATATCCAATTTTAATCACCAATAGAATCCGCGAAACCAGCGAACATCTTTGGAACTGCAGGCAGCTCATCGGGTCCCAATACCTTCCAATTCGGCGGTGGCGCTGGAGAAACGACAACCAAGAATTTATTTGGTAGTATCGCTTCATCGGCAGCGTCGGGAGTTACATCGTCCACCACAATAACCGCAACACCAACTTCAACGCCCTCAACAGCATCAAGTCTGGCAATAAAATCTGATAGTGAAGCAGCCACTAAAGTGGACTCTACCGCTACTGTTACAAGTCCATTTAGTACTGAAACTCCTGGTACTATTGCTCCAAAAAGTCAGCCTGCCATTACAGCAAGCACTACAGCACTATCAGTAGCTACGCCTGCAGCTCCAGCTACTGTTGCCACTGCAGCTTCAACTACTGGCACTTCCGTACCGGGCAGTGCCTTTTCCTTTTCGAATGCCTTCAGCAGTCTTGGCAGTGCAGCAACGGTCAGCACCACCAACACGTCCACAACAAGTAATACTTCGACTTCAGTTTTTGGTGGATTCGGAGCAGCCGCTGGAGCAGCAACAACAACAGCAATGGCACCAGTAGTCAGCAGTCCATTCCAGTCTACAACAAGCAGTACTGCATCGACTGGAAACATTTTCGGAAATATTCCCAAGCCGGAGACGAATCTATTTGGACCTTCAGCTGGTGCTACCGCGGCTGCGCCCACTCCTGCCGCTGCAAATCCACCGACTGGTCTCTTCGCTTCGGCAGCCATCAGCAGTGCCTCGCCATTTGGCAGTCCGCCGTCGGGAACGACTGCCTCTGGCGGAAACATTTTTGGGCAGGCCATAAAAGCGAGTGCTTTTGCTCAACCAACGCCAGCAGCCAGCGGTGTGGGAGGATCTATTTTTGGCGGGGGGACCAGTTCTTCCTTTGGTTCGAGCTCTATTTTTGGAGGAAGCAATCCGCAAAGCTCTAGTTCAGCAACTGGTGGAACCTCAATTTTCGGACAAAACGTTTTTGGACAATCGGCACAGGCTGCAGCACCGGCAACAGGTGGAAATATATTCTCTAACGCTGTGACTTCACCGCAGCAACAACCCCAGCCCTCTGCCTTCGGCGGAGGTGGAGCAAGTGGAGGAGGTTCAATATTCAGTTCGGGGGCAGCCTCTCCACCAACTCCTGCTTCGGGCGGATCGATATTTGGCGGAGGCAGTACCACTGGAGGATTTGGGTCCTTTTCGCAATCATCCCCCGCATCCGGAGGGTTTGGAAGCGTATTTGGTGGTAGTGGCTCCGTAGCCCAAACCGGTTTTGGATCTCCTCAAACTCCGCAACAGCAGCCTACTGCTGGCGGATTTGGAGCTAAGCCAGTGTTTGGTGGATCACCGGCCTTCGGAGCCAGTCCCACCTTTGGGGGAGCACCCACATTTGGGAGTCCAAAAGGATTCGGCGGTTTTGGCGGTGCCACTACCGTGACTTCGCCCCCAGCCTTTGGCGCACCTGCGAAGCCGACCGAAGGCAACATCTTTGAGACACTTGGAGGTCAGGACTCTGGCCTGTCGTTTGGAAACCTAGCCCAAACCGGAAACTCCAATGCCCAGAAGCCAGCTTTTGGAGGGTGAGTATTTGCCCTAATTACCTAAATTTCTCAAAAATAATCACAATGCTTTCATATTTCAGGTCGAGTTTTATGAATTATCGTTAGAACCTAATATAATTTTTGTGTAAATTCCCATCGTTTGTTTGTCTTATAATGATTTGATAATAATAAATTTGAAATAATCAAGTACCATATTTCCGTTGGTTTTTTTTTTTTTATTTTGCAATAAATCTTAAAGCGATGCTGATAATGATGAAAGAACGTGGTCTTAGCTTTACTCAGTACTGAGAACTGAATGATTATTTAGTCATTTTTAAAAGTTTCACTGAAAATGAAGTGTCTAGAAGCTGCGATCGCGTTGTGCTTTTTAGTACAACTGGGGGTCGGCGGTTCCGCCCGATTATTGGAACCAAGATGTCTCACCACACGTGTAATCGAAGGACTATACAACACCGCCCCTTGGATGGTCAGCATAAGTGACGGAAGGGGCTACATATGTCAAGGCACGCTGATTACTAGCCGTACGTATTTATAGCTCTCGGCTGATAGTGTCTCACCTGGTAAATCCCATTATTTCAGGCTATGTTCTAACAGCCGCCCATTGCGTATCAAATCAGAACCGATTGTAAGTATTCGTCATAACTTTCCGAAAGGAGGCAAATATATCTCTCTGCTATAAGTGCTATAAGTTTATTATTTTTCTTTAAGTTCCGTAAAGTTGGGTCTTCGAAATGGAGTCTTTTCTTCAAGCCAATATGCGGTCAGCGACAAAGAGACTCATTTTCAATTTTCCATGTATAATTATACAAATGATATTGCCCTTCTACGGCTTCAAGAAGATGTAATCTTCAATGGTTGGTAGCTCTCGTTTTAAAATTTTATTACCCTAAAAAGTATTATTCATTTGTTTTAGACTTTGTGAGGCCTGCTTGCATTTCGCTAGATATGGATCTAATTCAAGAGGTAAAAAAATTGACAGATTTTGAAGCCTTCAGAGGCCATTTAGCCCACAACCAGGGCCTGAAACAAATGGTTCTGAATCGTTCAAATCCTTCTGAATGTGGTGTAGGATTGGGATTTTATCCTAACGATAAACAAATTTGCGTTGAACAAAATAATAGGGACATCTGCACCGAGGACATTGGAGGACCATTGGTGCGGAGAATTACCTACGAGAGGGAGTATGGCTTCTTGCTCTTGGGGATCACGAGTATCGTAAAGGACTCCTGCGAAGGGAATATGATCTTTACCAACGTGATGAGCTATGTCGATTGGATTGAATATCATATTAATCCCAGTTCTGGAGAAACTGAAAGTGAAGACAATAATACCAGTCCTCCTTCCCCGAAATCGACGACTACGGAAGTACCGCAGGAGCAACCACAATTTCTTAACAGTGATTGTGGGGAATATACAAGTGGGATCCATCCGTGGTCCATCCACATCTATGGGAATGGGTTTATGGCCAAGGGCACGGTTATCACAGATCGTACGTAAATTTTTAAATTTTTTTTAAAGTATAATACATTTTTTGAATAATATGGTACCCATTCTTCTAGGTTTCATTGTGACGAATGCCCATAATATGCCTAACGAACCGAACTCATTGTAAGTAATTCAATAGATTTGGAACTTGATTTAGAGCATTTCAGAACTTTCGCCATTTCAGAGAAGTGGATATGGTGGATTCAACTGGATCATATGAGTTCTATGTGGATTTGGTGCTCAAACATCCAGAGTATCGGGATGGATATCAGAACGATATTGCGTTGCTGCGCTTGACAAAACCTCTTTCATCGACGGGTAATTTTTGTTCGTTGTACTTCTAGAATTTGTACATATTTCTTATGCATATTTCTAGTGAAACCGATTTGTCTAATCACCAATCCCGCAAACAACAAAAAGCTGGTTCGCCTAAATTATAGCTTAATAATTAACGAAAATAAAAATGCGTTAATAAAAGAAGTCCGCCGTCTGACTTCTTATGAATGCGCGGAAAAATTAAGTAAACGAATCGATGAAAATCAGTTCTGTGTGACGATACCTGCGGGGACAGAACATGGTAGTCCTGGCGACATTATTGGCCTAGATTTGAATGATGATGGGGAACATAAGTACACAATTACGGGAATCGCTAGCTATTCGAAAAATGGAATAAAAGTCATCACTGATGTGGTAAAACATTCTGAATGGATTTTGCAGGAAGTTCAAAAGCACCAAGTATGAGGAGCACTTTCACAGATATGTATGAGAACAGATTTTTATTATTAAATTTTGAACAGTGACTAATAATATGTACATGCTTTAAATTTAGCTTTAAATGTATACAATAAAGCAATTAAATTAAACTTATCAACTCAAGAATTTTTTCTCAAGAAATACTCATTCGCTGATAAGGCGAATATTGTCATATTAAATCTGTGCTGTCTTCGACGCCTGGTCATTCGCTTTCGAAAACTTCTTAGAAAATGAAGACTCTACTTTTAGCGATCGCGTTGTGCCTTCTGTTTAAACAGCATGCTGCCAGGTTCCTGGAACCAAAATGCATAAATCCTTCAAAGTCAATCGAAGCCAAAGAACTTACAGTTAGAATACATAATGGCGATGATGCTGAGAAGGTACCTTGGATGGCCGGCATATATTCCAAAGGAATATTCATTTGTGGAGGCACTCTCATCACAAGCCGTAATTATTTCCATACATCCTTATTCCTAACATTCTAATGTCCTTCGAATTGGACAAATTTGATTGTTTCAGAGTATGTTTTGACGGCCGCTCACTGCGTCAAATCAAAAGAAAAAAAAGACCTGTGAGTATTTTAAAAATGTTTTTTAAATAAAAACCAAATGTTATTGGGAGCTTAAAATGTAGTTTCCTAATGAATTCTCTTAAAAATTAAAAGTCGCGTCGCTCTGTTATAAAAATTGTTATCAGTTTTAAATTGTTTCTTGTAGCTTATGAATATATGAATTTATAAATATAATATTTTTGATTTGTCTTCAAGGTACGTCACTTTGGGGGTCTATGATAGATCAATTTATACTCCGCCTTTTGAAGTCGATGGCACCATTTCTCATCATGGGTACAATACGGAAAATCATATAAATGACATCGCTCTGATTCGACTTAAGCATGAGGTGGCGTTCAATGGTGGGTGATAAAAAGCTAATATAAAGTTCCCTTTTTTTAAAACTACCATCAAATTATTCATCTTCTACAGATATGGTAAGGCCCGTTTGCATTTCTCTGGACATGGACAAAATTGGTCGGCAGGTGGAGACAATCGATAACATGATGGCATTCGGTTGGGGTTTAACTGAACAAAATAGGCTCAGCGGTACATTACAATCCCTGTCCCTTGACAGATTCAATCGTAAAAACTGCGCAGATAAATTTGAAAAGGAGATCGATATTAAACAGATTTGCGCCGGAATGACAGACAATAAAGGTGACACCTGCACCGGAGATTCTGGTGGCCCGTTGGTGAGGAAGTTCGAAACAAACAAAAATAAAACAGCCCACGTTCAATTGGGGATTGTAAGCTATGGAGATCCCAGGTGCAGCGGTATTGGAGTCTATACCAACGTTATACAATATGTAGACTGGATTGAGTATAAAGTGGGTGGTGATTACGAGATCGATAATGATCAAGACGAGACCATAACAACTACTCATAGTCCGCCAAATACTGAGCCGCCAATCACTGAGGCGCTAATAACTGAGTCGGCTACGTTTCTTAATAACGATTGCGGAGAATATGATCGTGAGACATTTCCCTACAGGGTTGATATCTTTGGTCCTACCTTCACCACCAAAGGCACGATTATCGCCAGAGGTAAGAGAAGTATTTATTGGATCTAAATATTTTTTCATATTTTTACATTATTTTTTTTTTTTGCAGATTTTGTTCTGACGAACGATAAAAATAATCTGCATGACTTTAAGGCAGACACATTGTAAGTTATCCAGATAATAAAAGGAGAGTTTATAGTATACTTGATAGTTTCTTTGTTCCCCAGAGAAGTGGCTTTGTTGAATCCAGATGGGGCCTATGAAGAAACCACGGTGGAAAGAGTCCAAAGATCAAATGGCTTAGTTTTGCTTTATTTGAAATACCCCCTAACCATTTCAGGTATGTTTGTAATTTAACCCAAAATGGCATTATAAATAATGTTGACCCAATGCCTATATATCCTATTTACAGTTAAACCAATCTGCGTAGTGGTCGACAAACAATTAAGAAACGATATTGCTGGCGTTAGTTTGTATTATGCGAACGGAGATAAACTACTTGAACGTCTATCGAGTAACGCGTGCGCGTCAAAAATAGGAAGATATATTGATCCGAATCAGTCCGAGGTCTGTGTTAGTTTCCCTCGCAATGATGTAGAACGGTACGCAAGTCCTGGCGATGCTTTTGGAATATGGATGGACATGAAAAATGATACGTATAAATATATTTTTGCCGGAATGGCCAGCTCCTTCACAAATGGCGTCCAAGTTCTCACTGATGTTGTGGCTAACACGGATTGGATCTTGGACACAATGCGAATCATGAAAGCCACTGATGAGGATATCTTCTCTTAGGATAGATAATCAAAATAACGTACTTTTGTATTTACTTAATGCATATATTTAATTTGATTAAATACAGTGACTATGTTTCTTTGCACATTTACGGGTAATAATATAATGCGAAAACATTCTGAATGTACTTAGTTCCTAATTGTAATGATAGCTTGATCATTTTTTGTGTATTTGTGTAGCATGTTTGATTTGATTTACATAATCGTAAGAGCTGTAGTGTCTATAAAATATTTACAATTCTCTAAGTTGCGGAATCATGCGTTGTGCGTTTTTTGTGGTAAAGCTTGCGCATCCGGAGCGCTGCAGCACAAACTGCTTTATGGCAAAATCAAAACGAGGGACGGGGAGAGCTCCGACAAGACATTTTTGACATTTTCATTCGAATTGTTCAAAGCTGTTTAGCTAGGTAGGTTCTTTAGTATTTATCCAGTACGGCGCTGGAGTGTTGTTTGGAATGCCACACAAAAGGGACGGATTAGATCTTAAAACGAGACTTTAAATTATCGAAGGCGGCTCCTTGGGCTTAGTGCTTCGGGTCCTTGTTGTAGTCCACGTAGACGCGCACCACCTCGCCGGAATACTTGCGTTGCGAGGGCATGAAGTAGAAGTCGGGGGTGTCAGATCCCCCGTTTTGGCGGGGATCATCCCGCGACCGATCGTACCCAGAGTCCCGATCCCTGTCTTGACGATGGCGACGCTCCTCCTCTCGCTCACGCTCCCGCTCTCGCTCCCGGTCCCTACTTCCTTGGCGGGTCGCCCGGCGATCGTGGGTATAATAGCCGGAGGGCTGCATGCTAGCTGGACTCTGCTGATAGTGGTGCGCCTGTCGGGGCAACGAGTAGGCCCGCTCCGCGTATGAGCTGCGGGAGTAGGGAGCTCCGGTCCCTACGGCGCTGCTCTCCTGGGTGGATCGTCCGTTGGAGCGGCTGCCACTGCTCTTACCCTGGCCGTTGGGACTCTCGTAGTACATCTGGGACTTGCTGGTGGGCGAGTGGGACATTGGCAACGTGGTCTGCTGGCTGCTGGTGGTGGACTGGTGTCGGTGGCGTGACTTCTCCTTGTTAGCTGTGTTGGCGTTCATCTGCTTTTCCTCCGTCTCCCCGTACGGATCGAAGGCGTAGTTGGTGTTTGAGGCAAACTCCTTCCACGGTGAGTTCTGGATGAGCTTCTCCTGCAATCATAGAGACGAAAGATTAGGGCGGAATTTCTTAATATCAATCCTCCTCCAGTCAGCATTTGGGTGGGTGGAAGCTCTGGTCTATGGCATGTGGGGTGAACCTGACAGGTACTGCAACTGCTCTGGAATGTGCCTTGTGCCTTACGTTAAAGTCGAATCACTCTACCATCGAATTCAAGGATCAGGATTGGTAAGGATTGTGTTAAAAAGTGATGAGATTCTACCTCCATCTAAAGTGAAAATCTATATGGTAAGAGCTGGATGGCAAGGGTTCTAACCTTTTATGCTGATTACGACAATACTCCTAAATTTTTTTTGAAAGAAGTAGCATATTTCAAATACTGACTGGCCAGGAGAGACCAAACATAGACTTATAAGATGCAAATGGATGGGATTAGACTGGAAACATAGAAATGGGTTAGGGAGACAGATAGCATAGAAAGACTTATATATTGGAGAGGAGCATAAAAAGTCCCTTTCAGAGTGACGAGGTGAGTAGGATTTTTTGGTGGGTGGGTTAGGTGACAAGGTGTTAATACAACAACAGAAACCACAAGAAAATAAAGAGAGTTTTCAATTACCCATTTGGTTATAGAATTTTGATAAAACGCGGCACACGCACACACGCAGATACAGATACAGGTTGATAAAAATAATTGAAAGGATACTGGAGTTTTAACTATCTACGGTATTATCTTTTAAATAGAACAAATAAATGCTTTAAGGCAGTTGTAGCTGTATCTCGGGCTTTAGATGGTTCGGGCAGTGGGATATCCTATACGTAATCTGAGCTTAACACCGATGGGAATTGTACTGATTTTGAGTCTTATAGATCGCTAGAGGGCTGATAGTATCGCTGGTGCTGTCGCTGTTGATACATGCGCCACTCTTCGGGAATCACGTAAACCAGCTTTAAACGATAATGTTTAAATATTATTAGGAACGGAATGAGTAGCCTGTCCAGCACAGAGAAAGGGAAATTCCACACAATTATTCCATTGAATTCTCGATTAAAAATACAAAATTTCCCAGAAATGTGGCTGACTGTGGTAGTCCCACTTCTTCAGTTTCAAGAATTTTTTCTTATCTCTAAGTGTCTTGAAAAAAATATATAATTACTGTTTCTAACGAAGAATATGAACTTATGTTTCTCTGTGCTGTACATTTTTAGATGCTGACCCATTTAACAGAATTCAGAATCTTCTAGCAACTGACCTTGGTGCTTTTGCTTTTGCGGGACGTCTTCCAAATGGTGCAGAAAGCCTGGATGAGGGCGATGAGCACTAGGGCGGCAATCAGGCCCAGAACAATGTACAGTCGTGTCTCGGACAGATCGAAGAATGAGAGCAGCGTCTCCTTGGCACTGGGCTCCGAGGCGCTCTTGTCTGAAAATTTATGTCAAATACTTACAACCGTTCTACAATCAACAATCCTACGGGAGACTTACATTCCAAGGCTTCAAAGTCCAGATACTGAGGATCCACTGTTAGCGATCCCACGCGACCAGTGGCGATCTGATCCTTCAGTGCCGAGCGGATCGCATCGGCATTCTTTTGGGCAGCCCCTTCTCCGTTCTTGTCCACTGTGTTATTGTCCAGATCGTGCAACTTTTCCACATCCGACTTGTCAAACATGGCCTGAACCTTGGCCTTCAAGGTGCTTCCCTCTCTGCGGATAGTTACCAAAAAAATGAATATCTGGCACTCTTGTTAGATTTAATTTAACTTACTTCTCGAATCCCAGGATCTCAGTTTTGTAGTATCCACTCAGCGAGCTGAGGATGCCGTTGAAGGAGTCCGAAATTGTGGCTGCCAAGTTATTGAACTCCACGGTTCCGGGCTTGGGTGCCTCGTACGACTCGCCCAGGTTCATTAGCTTGACACCCACGGCGTAGACCAAGCGACTGGGCGCCGGAGTGCTGGTGCCCACGAAAACGGCCTCCAGTTCTGTCAAATGTATAGATTTAAGTCACAAAACTCAAAAAAAGAAAAAAAGGAAAAAAGCCTTACCTTTGCCACAGGACTTTATGCAAACACGACGGGAAGAGATTGGTGGCACCTGTTCGTGTTTCCTTATTTTCTTGTTCACCACATTGAAGGCTCCGCCCAAAACTGGGAAGAACAGATACAGGCAATGGTCGTCCGTGAAGGAAAGGTCCTGCTCGTCGTTGCTGACGCGCTTGCGATTGAACTCCAGTATTGTTACACCCTTCTCGATGCGTCCGGAAGCGTTGTAGATGTCCTGGCGATCGTCCAGTTTCGGTGGAGCATAGCCCAGCACCCAGGTGTCCATGAGGAAGGGTCGGCCACTGCGTGAGTCCACCCAGCCAATGATCGAGTCCGTCTGGGACATTCTCTGATCGTCGCTGAAGCCGATTCCAGTCCAGGTCTGGGTGTTCGAGGTCTCGATGTGCCAGCGCATCTCGTCGCCCTTGCCGGCGGTCTCCCAGCTGGCGTAGTACTCGCAGGTGTGCTCCTCCGGCGAGCAGTTCGAAGGGTACTTCCAGTGGCCGTAGCAATCGTTGTCCAGGACATTCGTACTGAGATCACTGCGATCAGTCGGGCTCGAGGCGGGCTTATCCTTTTCTGTTGCAATAAAAGTGAATGCATTAATAAATGTAAATGAAGGAAGTGGACTCAGGTCCTTACCAAAGAAGTTGATTTGCGTGGCGCCGCGTTGCATCTGGTGGCCGTGGTACTTGAGCTCGTCCGGCTGATAAAAGTCCTTGACAGACGAAGCTTCTGTCTCCAGGCCGGAGGCCGGCACATGCACATAGCTGTTTGGTTCCTGGCCCTTGGCCCAGATCACGTGAGTCAGAGCATCGTCCAGGGTGTGGTCGGTGGGTTCGTTGGAGACCAGTTTCTTGCGGAAGATGATTGTGGTAACGCCGTTCTCCTCGAAGCCCGTTCCCAAGGCCAGGTTTGACTTTCCTCCGTAGAACTCGTCGCTGCGTGGCGTCGAACGATCTCGGGTGTAATAGTCTCCCACTCGACTGGCCATGCCGCGGGCGGATCCGATCACTATATCCGTGCAGTCCATGGGGTTGAAGTCGTGACGGGGTGTGTATGGATTCAGTCGATACTTGGGGGAATCTGAGGAGAATTATTGTAAATGTATTAGACTTCCTTCCAGTTTTTAAGATGAAGTTTAAATTTACCTGAAGCTTCGCGACGTTGACGATCAGACTTGGTACTGACGCGATAGGAGACACTTGTGGACACAGAGGTAACTCCTTCCAGTGGGGAGTGCTCCTTGGCCACCCTCTTGGACTTGGCGCCATTCTTGGCATCGGCTCCTGGCTCACTCGTCGGCTCAGGTTCGCTTTTGGGTTCACTTGTGGGCTCGGGTTCGCTTTGAGGTTCACTTGTGGGTTCCGGTTCGCTTTTTGGTTCACTTGTGGGCTCTGGCTCGCTCTTAGGTTCACTCTTAGGCTCTGATTCGCTCTGTGGCTCGCTCTTAGGTTCGCTCTTGGGTTCGGCCGCGCTTTCCGGCTCGCTCTTAGGTTCAGGTTCGCTCTTAGGTTCACTCTTAGGCTCGCTCTTGGGCTCTGCTTGGCTCTCGGGCTCACTCTTAGGTTTTGGTTCGCTAGACGGTTCACTCTTAGGCTCACTCTTGGGCTCTGGCTCGCTCTTAGGTTCGCTCTTAGGCTCGCTCGTGGGCTCTGCATGGCTTTCTGGCTCGTTCTTAGGCTCAGGCTCACTCTTTGGTTCGCTCTTAGGCTCAGCGTGGCTCTGTGGTTCGCTTTTAGGCTCGATTCTAAGCTCCGCTTTGTTTTGGGGCTCACTCTTAGGCTCAGCTTCACTTGCTGGCTCGCTCTTAGGCTCTGGTTCGCTCTTAGGTTCGCTCTTAGGCTCGGGCTCGCTCGAAGGCTCACTCTTAGGCTCCGGTTCGCTTTTAGGCTCGCTCTTCGGTTCGCTCTTAGGCTCGCTCTTTGGCTCGGCTTCACTGCCCGGTTCACTCTTAGGTTCTGGTTCGCTCTTTGGCTCACTCTTCGGCTCGCTCTTAGGCTCGCTCTTCGGTTCGCTCTTTGGCTCTGCCTCGCTTCCTGGCTCGCTCTTAGGCTCTGGTTCGCTCTTAGGTTCCGGCGCAGGACTCTCTAAGGTTGTGGTCAGATCTCCAATGTCCCGAACCAACGGGAAGTTCTTGCACTCCGGGGTCAGGTGGCGTGGCCTCCAGCCCAGTCCCACCCACGAGGTGCTGTTAACCTTGAGCACCACTTCGATCTCCTTCTGCTCCTCCAGAAGGCGCCAGTACACGTGGTAGTCGGGGGACAGCTCCTTTTTTGCGTATGAAGAGAGGTCCAGGTCGGTGCTCTTGTAGGGCGATCTCTTGTTACATCCGATTCCAAACCAGCCAAAGTTACAGTAGCACTGTCGCTGGGGCAGCGAGGTGCCTCCCAAGTCAATGCACTTGCCCTGGACACCGCAGTCAGCATCCGCGGAGCACTCGTCCTTGTACTGGCACTGCGGGCCGTAGAAGTTTTTGTCGCACTTGCAGCGCGACGGGAAGTACTTCCCATTTCCGGAGCAGGTTTCCTTGAAGTCCTTGCGCTGCCTAATGTCCACGTCCGCGCAGGACCAGAAGCGGTAGCTATTGGACCATTCATCAGCCTGGCGCAGCAGCCGCAGGGTGCAGTTGAAGCACTCAAAGTCCTTGGGTATGGTCACCTGATAGGCCTGGGCCCTGTGGGTTCAATATAGAATGTTTTTTCTTAAATGGCATGGAATGAGATAACAGAAACTCACGTGACATCTGTGCGCACAAACTCCGAGTTATTCACATGGGGCGTCAGGTCCAAAACAGGTCGATCAAGGGCATCCAATAGTTGCAACCGAAAGCCGCCCTGGAAAAGTTACAATTATGAATATGATTATGGTCGCGCCAAAACAATGACTGAGAACTTGTGACGCGATGTCGTGTAGATTCACAAACATGGGAATCTCCAATCTCGATTCTTTGCTTTGCGATCTACGATCTACGTAGACTGCGTGCTTGTGAGGCAATGGGTTCTCGGCTAATTAGAGCTTCGGGTATCGGAACCACAAAGGGGCGTGAGTGTGCCACAGATCCACTTACCTTGTGCGGATAGGCCAAGTGCCAGGTGACGTTGAGCTGCGATCCGGAGAGCAGGGAGGTGCGTATCGAGCCTGGAACGGAATGAAATCAGAGCGTGATCAGTGAGTCGGTGATTATGGGTGACAGTTGCCGTCGAGGGCCGGCTGGAGTCTCATAATTAAGTACATTTTCCCCCCCCTCCAGGCCCTTTGGACAGGTTCTGCATTGAATGGCAACGAGTGCACCTGCAACCCCGCCTTTTTCCCCACCCCCCTTGAGCAAATTGCGCATGACAGGTATGTACATACGTTTTCTTCTCTTTTTTAAATACCCAGCCCCAAAACATCTCTGTAAACCTGCCCAGACGAATCTCATACTTGTCCATTGCATAACCCATTCGTGCGGTAATCTTCACTGACCAGCTGTGAAAAAATTACAACCTGAATGGAGGGACACTGCCAAATATTTTTACTTGGTTATGATCTTTGATCCTAGAAAATGTTTCCTCATTGGCAGACTCTTTTCGTCACAGTGTAGGGTTGGAGTAGCTATCATGGCCCGGCTCGCACATCGTTGGCAGTCAATAGCCGACGAGTCGCTAATTGAGGCCAATAAACGTTTATTGCGATGCTGGCTGGGATCTCCACCGAAAGCGAAAGGAGGAGTGTCACTTTCCAACCCGTGTCTGGGTCTTTTTCTCAAATAAGGAAGCTGAAAATTATGATTACTGCTAACACGAGATCGCACAGCCAGTTAGCCAAAGTCACATTAAAGTGGCTAACATGGCAAAAAAGCACTGACCACTTGAATCATTCGATTGCGCAGCTGGTCATCGTCGTCCCCCAAATATGGACATAAGTTGGCAGCTGGATGGATCGACATGACACCAAGTTTTATATCAAGTGGGGCATAACAACTGCATGGATTCTAGGGTATAGCCCAGTCAAAGTGGAGCTGCGGTGGCCGTTTGTGGGTCACTGGACGTGTTCCTTGGCCGGAAAACTCTTGATTTCTATTGCGCAACCTGTGGCGAAAAATCAGCTTCCATTCGACTGGAGCTTCTCTGTTTCTGGGTCACTCGCCGATGCAAATCAGTTCGATTTCAATGCATTCTTAACATGCCAGTGATCACAGACCACACAGACTCACGGCTCCCCACCCGGCGGCTTTGTTTTCTTTTTGTTAATCTTTTTGTGAAACGGAAAAGCCACCAAACCAGATCGAGAAATGGGTTAACCGACTAGCGGTGGATAAATCAAGTGTTCCCATTAATAAATCGAAACAACACACAAATTATGCCCGAAAAGGGGCGGCACCTGTATCCGAGTATCTGAGTGTCCGAATCTGAATCGCATCTCGGGCCATGCACTAAATTAGCAGGTGTGTTTTGTTTTTGTTTTTTTTTTCGAATTCACGTTTCTCATGGTCCCGGGTCCGATCGGTTGAAATTTTCTGGTTAATATTTTGTATGCTTTTTCGTGTTTTGCTTCTACTCTGTCATATTTCCCATGAGCACAGGCCCGCGAAAGTTGTTCACCTTTGCTTGGTTTTGGAGGCTGCTGCTGTAATTTGTATCTGTATCTGTGTCCGTGTATCTTGGAGGCTGCTGTGTGCCTGAGTGTGGTGGTTGAGCTTGAACTCACCGGCATCGTCTGGCCATTTCGAAAGTCCGTCCCGCTCCACCGCCGGATTCAAATCAAATCGGTCGGGGCCGCCTTGGATCGGCTTCTCTTTTCTGGCGGAGATGCGCGTGAAATCGGTTTATAATTGATTGGAAACCTGACTAATTTGATAGCAACTTGAATTCCATTGATAGTCAAGGGGAGGATCACCTCTGGTGTTGATTGAATTTTTTTTTTTAGGCGAAGATTTATGAAGTTTTAAAATACTTGTGAGTCACTAGAAACGTACTGTTCCCTAGAGAAGGTGTCCCATCTTTATCTGGACATGGGTGGACGACCCTGAGAGGCACTTTTATAATGGGTGGCATTACATCATGCCCCCAACTCTCTACCCCACCCTCCTTGAGGCAATTTGCTTGTTGATAGAAGAATGTTTGCTTGCATGCATTCTAATTGCATGAAGCACACGGCAACATATCCATCCAAATATGGGCGACGCCTCTCACGTAGCCTCAAACAAAGACTTCCGCAATGCACGGCTGGTCCCTGTTCACTGTACAGTGTGCACTGCATCGGTTGACAAATACACTTCCAGGCAGCCGCCTAACGAAGCGTTGCACATGCGCCGTGGAGGGCAATAAATTTCAGCATTCCTTGGAGCTGGGGGCCGGGCTAGGGAGGTGGGGAGTGGCCAACATGCCATAAAATTAATTTCGCTTTGGCAACCCTACACTGGCACAGCCATAGCCACAGCCAGAGACACTAGCAGTTGCCACCGTTCAACGCTGTGGCTGCCACTGCCGCAAATTAACCTGACCAAGTGGTTAACATCTTGCCAGCTTTGGCAGCTCTCGATATTTTCTGTGGTGCACTTGGAGAAATCCAAGCATGTTAGTTAGGCCAAGATAGTCCAAGAATAGAGCTTTTTGAAACCATTTTGTTAGTGCAACATTTGCATTCGGTGGTGCAGTTGGAAGTGTGGTTCGTGTGGTGTTGCTGCCGCTGTGGTCAAGGAGTTTCGCTTTAGTTAATTGCTCGTGACGTTGTCTTGGCCGAAACCACTACCAGACCCCCTCCAAAGCCAAGCTGAGCCGATCCAATCCAATCGGATCTGCACTCCACTTTGCTACCACTTGCAGTTTTCGGTATTTATGGTTTTCCATCGACTCCCGAAGCAGATAAATTTCAACAGATGCATTTGCAAATTCTGTGGCGCGCATATTTATGTATTCCTCCGGCCATATTACGTATACGTAGCGGGGTCCAAATGTCATTTGTGCCCGGCAGACTCATTGATATTCTGAATGGCCTACAATGCGACATTTCGCTACAGGATTTAACTACAATGGGGATCTGTTGGCCTGAATTATGAGTTCGAGTTGCAGTTGGCCAGTTGAATATTGAAAAGCCTCCATAAGTTCAACTCCGAGTGACTAATTGACATTTACACCGAGCTGATGCCCGTCCATAATTATCGGAACCGATGTTTTGTCAACCCCATTGATGCATTTCCCAATCGGTACATCAGTGACACAAGAGGCGACCACATCTTGACCTCCATTCCAGTTCCAGTGTGCTCGTCACTCAGAAAATCACAATTACCAGCCGAGTGGAGTCGCGTCTCTGTGGCCATAAAAAAACATGGAAACAAAGCCAAATCAAAACAAATCGTGTGGCAGCCGACACAGAAACAAAACCAGTGAAAAAGAGTGTCAAACACGGACAAATTGAGTTGGATTAAAAGATACTCTGTTAGGTACTCTGGTGGTGAAGTGGTGCTCCATGGAGGGGCCACAAAAAACACACAATTCAAACAAGCATCAAGATGCGGCAACAGAGGTCAGTCCCCATTTCCCTCTGCTGCGTTTTGTTATTTCTGGCCCAGTGAACCAAATGCAACTTAAAAGTGGCCAACTTGTGGCATTGCAACAGACCAGAAAGAGTATGGAGAGTTGGGAGTGCAGATTTTTTTAAGGGGGTTGAAAGTAGTCCAAGAAATGGTCATCAGAGGAGCCATATGCGGAAATCCTGGATTTCCCAAGGGGTCCATCAGGAAAAATGTGAAAAATATCGATCAAAAATTTTGTATCAAGCTTTTGATGCAGATTTGTGGAGAATCCATCCACAATTGTTTTAAGGTATACCTCTTAAGAATCGGATGAAAATTATCCAAGATATGGACATCGGAAGGGCCATATACGGAAATCCTGGATTTCCCAAGGGGTCCATCAGGAAAAATGTGAAAAATATCGATCAAAAATTTTGTATCAAGCTTTTGATGCAGATTTATGGAGAATTGATCCACAATTGTTTCAAGGTATTCCGTTTAAGAATCGGATAAATATTGACCAAGATATGGACATCGGAAGGGCCATATACGGAAATCCTGGATTTCCAAAGGGGTCCATCAGGAAAAATGTGAAAAATATCGATCAAAAATTTTGTATCAAGCTTTTGATGCAGATTTATGGAGAATTGATCCACAATTGTTTCAAGGTATTCCGTTTAAGAATCGGATAAATATTGACCAAGATATGGACATCGGAAGGGCCACATACGGAAATCCTAGATTTCCAAAGGGGTCCATCAGGAAAAATGTGAAAAATATCGATCAAAAATTTTGTATCAAGCTTTTGATGCAGATTTATGGAGAATTGATCCACAATTGTTTCAAGGTATTCCGTTTAAGAATCGGATAAATATTGACCAAGATATGGACATCGGAAGGGCCACATACGGAAATCCTAGATTTCCAAAGGGGTCAATCAGGAAAACTGTAAAAAATTTCGATGAAAAATTTTGTTTCAGGGTTTTGATGCAGATTTTTGAAGAATCGACCCACAATTGTTTCAAGGTATTCCGTTTAAGAATCGGATAAATATTGACCAAGATATGGACATCGGAAGGGCCATATACGGAAATCCTGGATTTCCAAAGGGGTCCATCAGGAAAAATGTGTAAAAATATCGATCAAAAATTTTGTATCAAGCTTTTGATGCAGATTTATGGAGAATTGATCCACAATTGTTTCAAGGTATTCCGTTTAAGAATCGGATAAATATTGACCAAGATATGGACATCGGAAGGGCCACATACGGAAATCCTAGATTTCCAAAGGGGTCCATCAGGAAAAATGTGAAAAATATCGATCAAAAATTTTGTATCAAGCTTTTGATGCAGATTTATGGAGAATTGATCCACAATTGTTTCAAGGTATTCCGTTTAAGAATCGGATAAATATTGACCAAGATATGGACATCGGAAGGGCCACATACGGAAATCCTAGATTTCCAAAGGGGTCAATCAGGAAAACTGTAAAAAATTTCGATGAAAAATTTTGTTTCAGGGTTTTGATGCAGATTTTTGAAGAATCGACCCACAATTGTTTCAAGGTATTCCGTTTAAGAATCGGATAAATATTGACCAAGATATGGACATCGGAAGGGCCACATACGGAAATCCTAGATTTCCAAAGGGGTCCATCAGGAAAAATGTGAAAAATATCGATCAAAAATTTTGTATCAAGCTTTTGATGCAGATTTATGGAGAATTGATCCACAATTGTTTCAAGGTATTCCGTTTAAGAATCGGATAAATATTGACCAAGATATGGACATCGGAAGGGCCACATACGGAAATCCTGGATTTCCAAAGGGGTCCATCAGGAAAAATGTGAAAAATATCGATCAAAAATTTTGTATCAAGCTTTTGATGCAGATTTATGGAGAATTGATCCACAATTGTTTCAAGGTATTCCGTTTAAGAATCGGATAAATATTGACCAAGATATGGACATCGGAAGGGCCACATACGGAAATCCTAGATTTCCAAAGGGGTCCATCAGGAAAAATGTGAAAAATATCGATCAAAAATTTTGTATCAAGCTTTTGATGCAGATTTATGGAGAATTGATCCACAATTGTTTCAAGGTATTCCGTTTAAGAATCGGATAAATATTGACCAAGATATGGACATCGGAAGGGCCACATACGGAAATCCTAGATTTCCAAAGGGGTCAATCAGGAAAACTGTAAAAAATTTCGATGAAAAATTTTGTTTCAGGGTTTTGATGCAGATTTTTGAAGAATCGACCCACAATTGTTTCAAGGTATTCCGTTTAAGAATCGGATAAATATTGACCAAGATATGGACATCGGAAGGGCCACATACGGAAATCCTAGATTTCCAAAGGGGTCCATCAGGAAAAATGTGAAAAATATCGATCAAAAATTTTGTATCAAGCTTTTGATGCAGATTTATGGAGAATTGATCCACAATTGTTTCAAGGTATTCCGTTTAAGAATCGGATAAATATTGACCAAGATATGGACATCGGAAGGGCCACATACGGAAATCCTAGATTTCCAAAGGGGTCCATCAGGAAAAATGTGAAAAATATCGATCAAAAATTTTGTATCAAGCTTTTGATGCAGATTTATGGAGAATTGATCCACAATTGTTTCAAGGTATTCCGTTTAAGAATCGGATAAATATTGACCAAGATATGGACATCGGAAGGGCCATATACGGAAATCCTGGATTTCCAAAGGGGTTCATCAGGAAAAATGTGAAAAATATCGATCAAAAATTTTGTATCAAGCTTTTGATGCAGATTTATGGAGAATCGACCCACAATTGTTTCAAGGTATTCCGTTTAAGAATCGGATAAATATTGACCAAGATATGGACATCGGAAGGGCCATATACGGAAATCCTGGATTTCCCAAGGGGTCCATCAGGAAAAATGTGAAAAATATCGATCAAAAATTTTGTATCAAGGTTTTGATGCAGATTTATGGAGAATTGATCCACAATTGTTTAAAGGTATTCCGTTTAAGAATCGGATAAATATTGACCAAGATATGGACATCGGAAGGGCCTCATACGGAAATCCTAGATTTCCCAAGGGGTCCATCAGGAAAAATGTGAAAAATATCGATCAAAAATTTTGTATCAAGCTTATGATGCAGATGTTTTATGGTGTTTTAAGGTATACCTCTTAAGAATCGGATGAAAATTGTCCAATATATGGTCATCAGAGGAGCCATATACGGAAATCCTGGATTTCCCAAGGGGTCAGGAAAAATGTGAAAAATATCGATCAAAAATTTTGTATCAAGCTTTTGATGCAGATTTATGGAGAATTGGTCCACAATTGTTTCAAGGTATTCCGTTTAAGAATCGGATAAATATTGACCAAACTATGGACATCGGAAGGGCCATATACGAAAATTCATGATTTCCTAAAGGGTCCATTAGGAAAAATGTGAAAATGCCTCCTACCAATGGCATAATATCGGATAGTGACCGGAATATTTAGAAACCGATCGGCCGCACTGCCGTCACAGCCCCTAGCGACTTCTGTGTGTCGTAATGGACGAGTGAAAGTTTTTCACTTGCAGCATGTTGCATTGGCATTCCAGTTGCCTCGCGTCGGCACATACATCATCGTCATGAAGGCGGCAAGTGAGCCGCAGTGGCCTCAGTGGCAGTTTCAATGGAAGTTGCAGAGCCCGGCCAATACGCGTTTGGCAAGCTGCAGCAGCCGCAGGCGCTGGCAAAAGTTGTCGTGCCCCGAAATGGGTTAAACGTGCCACCGGCCGCGACCGGGCGGCCCACGTTGCGTATACGCAATGTAATTAACAGCAAGCCCCGCAGAAACAAAGCCAAACGAAACTGCAAGCAAAATTGAAAATGAAAATAAATGCTGCGCACAAAAATGTCGCTCAACGGGTTGTACCTCAAGGTACCTGAATGCCAGAGAGTATCTGAACAGTGCCCGTACAGTACCCACTGCGAATGTGTGTGCGATACTTTATAGACATATCCATGGAAATTGATTTGGCATTTTGATGCGGCACACGTGTTCGGACCAGTTGCCAGTCGCCAGTTACCAGTTGCCAATTACCAGCCATCTCAAGGCAATTGTCGGCTATAATTGATATGCAAACGGTATGGATGGGACTAGCCCAAAAGGTAAGCCCTTACCCAGTCCCCTTGAGTCGATATTATTGAAATTTCCAAACTGAAGAGCCGTCGAAAAGGTGTTATTTTAATTTGTTGAATTTTTCGAAAGTGCATAAGAAATTCAACGACACAACATAATCATAATACTCATAATTTGTGTGACCCAATTTCTGAGTATTGGGATCCACACGCATCGAAAAAAAAAAATATGAAGAAAAAAAAACAAGAAACACACACCTGCCAGCGAATGGTGGCAAGTGAATGGCGGCCAAGTTGCTTCTCTGCTCGCTCGCGATATGCAAATTAATTGGTAACACTTTGCTCAGCCGCAGCAACAAAAGCAAGGCAAGTAGCATTGAGCAAGATGCCGCACATACATAACAATAACAACAAAGCCATAGCATAGGCATAATATGCATATGATCGTGGGGGGGCAAGCAGGGGGAGTGGCAGCCGCTATTATGCAACGAGCGAGTGCAAAAGCAAAAGTGCACGTCTCTTGGAAATTATGAATAAAATCAAACAGCATGCAGTGCGTTTCAGCGGCATAGGCCATTAGCAGCTCCACACGAATGACACAATTTGATACAATTTCAATGCATTCAAGGCCAGGTACAGTAAAGATGGCCTAAAGGCTCATAGAGGTCTCTAAAATCATAATCTCTGGTCAGCTTAACTTGTTTAACTCAAGCTATTCAACTATTTATGTTTTCAGTTTACAGCTTGGCTTATGAAACGCACTGTACCCCTTATGCTTATGTGTGAATTGAACGTGCTTGGCCAATTACAGCTCTCGGCCAACAAAGAGCGCATAACCAGCCGTAATAAGCCATAATATTATAATCGAAGCGTGCCTGGCAGACGGATTCGTGGTAGCTGAACTAGTGTTGGCCAATATTTAGCAAGCAGTTATCTTAAAAACAAAATAAATAGTAAACTTACCCTTTGGCATGCCACATGGCGCCTTGGTGCGGGAATTGTCCAAAAAGTCCAGGTCGTATTTGCGGGCAGGTGGATAGGTGAGGGCCACATGCGCCTCCGCTACGAAATAACCGAGGTAGCAGCACCCGGCGAGGAGCACCAGCAGGGTCCCCAGTCTTGTATTATTTATGGACATTTTGTATTCGAATAATTTATTTCTTTTCAATTTTTTGGCGATTGTCGGGGAGTTTCCTTTCGGTATTAGCACCGCGAACCGTCGCTATTCAAAAGCTCTTCTCTCTTTCACTTCTTTTGTGTAATTGATTTTTACGGGGATTTCTGCGTTTTGATCGGCAAGTGTGTGGAAATTATAAAAATTATATAATTGATTTTGTTATACGGCCCGAACGGCAACAAATTGGCCAAACATTTCAGCCGGCTGCAGAGTTGGGCCCTGAAAAGAAACAGTATTTATAGATTTATTAGCTGAGAATTGCATAAGGCGGAGGGATCTGGCCAAGATGATTTATGCCAGTGGCCAAAACAATGACTAGGAAATTTCCCACAATGTCCCCATTAAAGTTTCTTTGGCGATGAAAAATTCAGAAAGTGTCGAAAGATTCGTTTCACTTTTCCCTGCAGATTTTCAGAGTGACATGGCGACAGATACTTCGATGCGATGTATCTTTGGGGGAGCTAAGCTGCGTGTGAAGCTCAGTTCAATGTTCGATCGGAATGCCTCGGGCTTATATATATTTTTTACACCATGTATGTGTGTACTTATCCAACGCCTTCGCAGCTGAGTGAAATCGAAGGCCTTGCCGCGTTCAACAGACTAATCAAAGCCAATGACAGCTGCCCCCCAGCAAGTCAAACTCTAAGATACTTAGACACTTGGGTACTTAGTCCCAAAGTCCACCGAAAAAAATATATAAAGCTTGACCAACCAAAAGACATAAAAACTACATTTTGTTACTTCCTCATTACGGAAATTAGAAAAAATATATGCTCTTTCAAAAATATTATCTGCCTTTGTATAAAATAAGAGTAACTCACTTTATATATGGGATATTCGGGTCGTGCTTCTACCTGCTTGAAAAATACCGTAGCCCCCGGCCTAAATGACAACAAATGGCGTTGAATTGGGCGGGTAAATGTGGCACGGTCGGGCCAATTGTTTGGATTTGGCAGAAAAAATAAACTGAGAAATGGTGCCACAGTTTTGACAAGCAAATTGCATGCTGCATGAAATCTGTTTTCTTGCCCCAAGATAAATCAACGACAATTGGTGTTAGTTGGTCTCGCTGATTGGCGAAAATGCCCACGATTTGGCCAGAATGGGAACGGCCAGACGACGCCTCTTGACCATTCTGTGCTGTTCCACTTTAGCTTTTTTTTTTCCGCCAGCAAGTGACATCTACAATTGAGTTTTCAGCTTGGTAATCTCCGAGTCATTGTCCAATGTCAGCCAGAAATATCTGCCATATACTATTTGTATCTGTGTAGTAAACTTTTTTTTTATAAGCCGTAACGGTAGCAACTTCCGAGGCAGCAGCTGACCACCTCGTTTGGTTTTGATTACTGTCTGGCATTGGGAGCAGCCCCAGCAGCGGCAACAACACCATCAGCAATAGTAACAACTTCAGCAACATCTGAGACTGTGACGACCACATGGCCTGACATTGAAGTCGTCAAAGCAAAACAAAATCGAAAAGCATGTAAAAAATGTTAATTAAGCCAAGCCGAGCCAAACAAACACTAATGAAGTGGCATAAAACCAGTATCTGGAGCAGAGTTGGCAACTGGGTTAGAATCATTGGGAGTAGAGGTTCTATTCTAGGCATGTGCCAAAAATATATCATTTCATTTTGAATTGCTAGCATAAAAGTTATCTTTCGATCAACCAAAACAATCTTTAGGTAAATTAAAAACGATCCATTTTAATCTCTTCTTGGGCAATCAAAAGGCCCACATTTTTGGCCAAAATAAGGTAATGGCGCCCAGCTGGAGACTACGTATTGCCAAGAAAAGTGGGAAACTTCTGTGAATGGGTGAGCTGCGTGATGCCAACCGAAGCCAACTGTCTAGTTGGCCCGTCATGAGTTGGCCAAAACCCCCGTTCATTACCCAACCGACTAAGGGAAAATGCGACTCCGAGCTCGGAGTCTGGAGCCCTAAAGTGGAATTTAAAGCTGACTTAAGAGGCAGCTGGATAGCTGTACAGCTGGAGAGCCGGAGCCGGGCTTAGATGAGCAATTACTTTAATTGAATTGGCTCTCGAGTGCTTTGCATTTCCACTAATTAGAACTGAGATGTAATTAACGAGAGCCACAAATGCCAGGGCGAAAATGAAACTTAAGCAGCCACAACCGATTCAAATGCAATTCACACGCAATTAAACTGAAGTCTTTCTGAAACACGTTGGCCAAGAAGAACACTTGACTCGGTTTCTACGGCATATCGATTATAGCCTTATATCCAATAGACTTATGGTTATATAGCTGCGGACATAAACATTTGGCCACGCTACTCATGTTCGATTCACGGCGACAGCGAGTGGAAAAAAATGCAGTCCAACTGGTTACGAAATATTCGAAAAGCTCATTCATGTTGAGCTTCAGATACAATTTTCAAAATACACCGACTGCGCTGCTATTTGTATCTGTATCTGAGACTCAGTCACTGAATTTTTTCTTTGGTTGGGGGCATTGGTGTGAGTGAGCCTGGGTACCGGAAACCGGTTACTGGCCCCAAAACAAAATATAGTCAGCTATTAATGGATCGACGATAAATCGATGCTATCGGGGCCCCAGACTTTGGCCAACCGACTCGGACTCTGGGGCGGCAAGTGTATCGCCTATGGCCGCTCCCAAAATAAAAGAGCCCAGAAATTAGAGCCACGAATCTGTGGCCGAAATATATTTCAGTTTTGGCAACACAAACTGGAGCCCGCACGCTCCATTTTAAGTTGGCCAAATTAGAGAATAACATGGCAGCGAGATAAATAGAAAATTGTTAAGTAAAATAAAAGGAATTTATTATGTAACTTTGTAATTTATCTGGTCCAGAGGATACATTCTTTATGCATACAATTGATATTCGTGATTTTGATTAACCCACTAAATAGGAAACTATTCCAAAAATTGATTAGCAAGCTAGCACGACTTTCTAATCGCCTTTGATGAACCACCCGGCGTATGGGTGATGTGTGTTTTTTGGCCAGAGGCTGTTAACGGTCCATGTGACTCTTTCTGACTACTCGATACGAAAAACGAAAAACTGTAGACTGAAATCCGAATGGTGTGGACTGGGAGTTGAGTGCGAAAATCGGTACGTCATGTCGGTTATGTGAGTGCTTCTGCTGCTGTTTTGCTTTTTATACACTGTTTGGTTTAAGCATTTCGTGTTTGGATTTCTATTTGCGCGAAATTTCTCAACTTTAATGTCACGCACCACGAATCCGGCGCCGAACTTGGACAGGAGAGTCGCTAATAATGAGTGATTGACAAACATGTGTGCCGAGTGGGCTTATTATAATTACTGCACAGCACTGAGCAAAACTTTGGTATTCCATTTTCGATATTTTAGTTGTCTATGACCTATAAAAATATCTGATAAATATTTAAGGAATTCTTGCCTTTCTATTAAAACCGATTTTGGTGTAAAAAAATTGCCAACAGTGGCTGGAAAATGTCAGGTGCTAATGCTCGTTAATCAATTCCATTGATGGAGTCGACACATCAGAGCCTCCTCGATGACATCTTCGGTTCGCAGTGAAAGTTGTCTTCGTACGAGCCCAAGTTTTTCATTGATTTTTTGTTTGCTTATGTTTAATTTCTATTTCACCTTCGATTTCGACTCGAATGACTCGGAATGCAACTGGGGAACTGGCGGGGAAAAGTAAACAAACGCTCGGACCGTCACTTTCAATGGGTTTCTATCAATTAGGAAAATGAAACCATCATCGAGATGACAAATTATACTATATTCGGGCATGAGACACCCCGCACATTTCCGATTTTGTGACATTGGGGCTAATTTCTGTTGATTAGCATAGTGGAACCGTGTAATCTGGCCGTGGAACTGGTGCAGCCAGTTTGGCATTCGGGGGCTCATTCGCTTTCGGCGTGAATATTTTCCAAGTTTGAATTAATTTGCCACTTGGCTCTTGATTTCTTCAACTTTCACGAGAACAAGCTACACGGGTTTCGGGCCATCTCCCTCCAAGGGGTCGCCTCTGAGGTCAGGGTGAATCCAAGGGTTAAGACACTCAAACAGACAGACAGATAAACAAACAAGCGTTTATTTGCTGTCGCTATTTTATGCTTGTTAAACTTGATCTCTAAACTGGCATCCAAAGTACCAGTACCTGTATACCCTAGGCAATTTGTTCACATTGCCCGCAGCCGTGGCAAACTCTGCCTATAAGATCATATTTCACCCAGACTACATAGCGAGATAAAATGATGGCCGTTGCGACTGAGTGGGCTTTTGGCATTAGAAGGCAAGACAGCTTGATTTTTATTTTATTCATTTAATGCCACAAACATAAGATACTCAGAAGGTGGGAATGAATAATGCTTTTCTAATTGATAATAGTTATTAAGGAATTCAGTTACAGAAGCCAGCCACTCGAAGTCGGTTTTACGACGTTACTTGAGGTGTAAAAGCTGATTTCATCGCTTTGCCTCGTGATTTGTATTTATAAACACTTTATCACTGACGAGATCCCTTTGTCCATACTCCCCGGCTTTTGAGCCAACACATCTCGCATCGCATCCCCCATCACAGCCACATGTTAATTTATTAATGAGTTGCAAAAACCTGTCCGACCTTTACATAAATATCTGTACACAATCTTTACAAAATGTTGCCAAAAAAATTGTTAACGGCAAATGCTTTTCTTTATCGCTTTTTTTGGGAGAATAACTTTCTCATGGCAAGCCCCGAAATTTCGCTGAGTAATTTCTAATGTCACTCGGGACGCGACGGTCGAGTGCCCGCCAAGATCAACTCGGAGCCAAACGATTCGCATTAAGATCTAAGGTCGCACGCCTTAGGCATTTGAAATTAAATTAAGGCAGTCCACTGCTGGCTGTGTTACGCTCTTTTGCGTAATCTGATGTGCGATTATGGCCATTTACACGGGCTGCTTACAAATCCGCGGCATTGAAACGCACGCGGCTCAAATGCCAATCCGACTGGACGCTCAAAACAAAAGACTTAGGCAACGAACGCGCATGCCGCATTTCGCAGCGCAAGTGCGCAGCATCTCGTTCGAACGGGCAGCGTAAACAAAATAATAAAATTCAATTTAAGAGCCATTATAAAAAATATTTGGCAAATGAATGCGAAATATTTGCCCGACACGACATGTTATGAATCTTGGCAGTATTCAGGTTTTCGGGACTCTAACGACGCCGAACAAGTGCACAAATTACAAATTGGTTTTTGTGTTCGACTTTGACAGTTCGAATTACGTCTGAAGAGTCAAGATGCGCTTCAAGGTTCCCCCACCTGTACGCCGTACGCTATACGCTTTACGCTGTATATATTTCTAACCAGTTTGTTTAGCCAAGTGGTGCCCCGCCCCTGCCTCCCCAGAACGGCCATTAGACAAACCTGCCCAACAACGACGACGACGGCAGATCGGACGGATTCTGTTTCTGATTCGGGTTTCGTTTACCTTCGCGCATTCTCACTTTTTTTTCTTCGTTTTTTGTTTTTACTGACGGCTTTGGGTTTTCCTTTTGTCTTAAGCTGTTATTTTTGGGTCTTATTGGCATTTATGTTTGGTTTATTGGCCGCTGGAATTCGGCGTTTGTAAGTATGTTAATAATAGCGCTTTATATGAGCAGCCGTAAATGCTTTTATAGTGGACGGAGCAGGGGATCTGGGAGAACCACGCAGATTATTGGCGTGCCCGTGTGTATTAGACATTAGACGTTGGTGGATGCCATCCGGTTTTGGCCTTTGCAGCTGGCAATGCTGCTCGGCTGCATTCCGGGCATGACTAAGAGAACCGCGAGCCGCGGCTCTAGAGTCGCGGGAGTTATTACCCTCAAGGTCACTACTTCTGGCGGGCTTTCGGTTTCGGTTTAGCATCGTTTTGGTCTAATCTTGGCATGACAAGGCGGTTCGCCTCAATCGATTACACTGAGGATACATTTTTAATGTATGACTTTTATTTAAAATTTTATTGCTTTCAATTAATCAACATGTGGAAGTGATTACATCCACTATTAAATATTATGATGATCTAATAATGACCCTGATTTTAATGCTTTTTCCGAGTACTTTAAACTCCATGCCTGATCGGTTAGTTTGGATTGTTTGGGGGTCAGCCATTAGGCTAAGCGGCTTAAATGGAATGGAGACAAACAGTTAGCGAGGCGATGAAAACAAAGGAGAATTAATTAGATTCCGTTGCTGGATAGGGTTGGCTAATGGATGCCAAGAAGATCTCTCCACTGCCATCGGAATATTTGAGGTTTTCGAGCTTTTGAGTCTCGGCCATACAGGTGACTCAATGGTGGATTCGACATTTCTTTTTATTCGACCATGATTAATGGACTTACAAAGCGCATACGCATACGCGATTTGGCGTTTTGGCGTGTCTTGCCAGACCATTCTGTTCTGGCCCAGTCGCAATGGCTTTTTAGAAATGATCTCATCTGCCACAGAGCTGTATAGGCCCCAGCATCGCGGTTCTGGCGGCCCACATCGATCTCCGCAGAACAATCCCCAAAAAGCAGCTGTCAGCTGCCAAACGTTAATTTGCAATAAATTACACCTGACAGAGTGTGTGTCCGTGTGTAAGATCGTGTGTATATGTTTCGGGCTTTAATTACAAACACTTTTTGTGGTTAATTTCACTTTTTTTTGCCGTCTTCCGCTGCGACATGTGCAGGGAATTTTAAAACGAGTACCAGTTTGCATTGCCAATTCAGAAGGCATTTCAGATTTTCTATAATAAGTATATATAGTAATGTAAACTCTCTATAACCAAATCTTGCGTAAGCTATTATTTTCAAAAACTTTTCCTGTTAACGAATCAAGCAGAAAAACTGCCTGCGCATAAGTTTCGCTTCACTAGCTTTTACAATTATTGTGAGCTCCTGGAACTGCAGCTCCTGAGTTTTTTGTTCAGTGCATGGTAGAGGCATTCCACGAAAACTTACCTGAAGATGATTATGGTAAGAAAAAAGAAGCAGCGCCGGCGAATGCAAGAGGCGATGTAGGCGGCGATAAGTTACGAAAAACGCAAGCAAGCGCACTAGAAGATCCCAATCCCCATCCAAATCCGAATCCGACTCTGTGGCTAATCAAAAGTTACAACACGCACGCGCCTTGCAACGATCGCTGGTTGTTGCCTTAGTTATTTTGTTGGGGGTTTTTTTTTTATTTTTCTCTGAGGGGTTCTGAGGGGTCGGGGCTTTCGGTAAAAATGTAAAAAAAAGGTACTGAGACCACGATACACGATCAAAGTCAAAACAATGCAGTCGCGGCACTTTTAACGTTCTCCGCTGATGATGCACAACCGCGCAATTTTCAGTGGATTGCGATGGCACCCACAGGTAAGTCTCGAAGTTTGTGTTTTTGTGTGTGTGGGAGGTGATGTGTTAATCAATCAGCCAGCGCATATCGAAAGTACACTACTTTGTTACAATAATTTGGATATTTGTGTTCATTATACGGCTATGGATGGATTTGTTGCAACGGCTGTACGTGACTGCCGCGCACTTGCACAACGACCGCAAATATCCAAGGGATCCACGCTCCGGCAACTCAACGTTTCGATTGGTTCCGTTCCGAAAATGCCGCACTTCAACTGAGCAGGAAGAGCCACACGACCACACGTTCGCACTGAAGCGCCTCTCGATCGAAACTAAAGATCGAAACACCAGGTGGGCCAGGTGAGGCTACCGCCAGGTGGCAGCTTGAAAGCTGGCAAAGCTCTCTCTCTTTGGGCCAACTACTTGCCCGAATCCGGCAACACTCCACGAAAATTGTTTAAGCCAAGACTAGCACAATGATTTGTTCAAGAACCAGAGGGGTTTCTTATATTTTGTGTATCGCGGGAGCTCTATTAACCTTACGTCTAATGAATGTTTTAAGCCCAATTTTTTCATAAACCTCCAAAGCGGAGGATGTACCACTGGAAGTAATTTGATTCATAGATCAATGATGTATGCATAATGTTATTATGTACCATGACAGATCATGCGAATAATTTCTGTTGTTTTACCCAAATTCTGGGTACAATTAGCCATTGAAACGTAAATATATAAATCTAAAGTAACTATACTTCAATAAAAACTATTTTTATAATTATTCGAATAAAATATTCTGTTATTTATTGTATTTGAACATAAACCTTTAGATCCATTCGGGGTATTCCATGACTGTAATACACACTGTGAACGCAGTAAACTCCTTCTGGAAAAGGAAGGACATTAGACAGCATGTGATCCAAGTGGCTAATGGGCAGTTTTTTCACAAAAACATCGTGCTGAAATCAAAAACTATTCAACTCTTGTTCATTAACAATTACATTTACTTACATCGTAAGGACATTTGTGAAGCATATTTGAGTAGGGAGCAAACAGATCGTAAAAGAACTGAGTCACACTTGTTTTCTTCTGTCCTTTCAGAAACTTACAAGCGTCGACAGTGAAGTTAAATAGAAACGGCTTGTAGCCATTCAACCTCTTAAGGACTTCCACTCTTATCTTAAATAATTATAATTGAGGAATATTAGATCGAAATAATGAATTCTACAATAGATTTGTACACACTGTTACATCATCCACAGGAAATTGGTAAAACTTTGTTCTGAAACTCATATACTTGAATGATCGATTAGCTGATTTCAAAAAACATTCATCGAATCCCATAAAACTTTTATCCAGGGCTGTACACTCTACATTTTTAAATTCAAACTTGCAGTCCACCTAAAGATTACTTTCATTTTTTACTGAAACTATTTACGTCCAACCATTATTACTTACTTTGCTAACTAAAAACATTAAAATGGTCCACCGAATAATCAATATCGATTCGAACGCCACCATGGTTCAGGTACTATTAAATTCCTTAGTTTTTCCGTATTGACCAAAAAAAGCAATTACTTCCAGTTTGTAACAATAGTAATAAATATATTTTAATAGCGATCATCTGATATAGAATCATGAATTCGGAAAATTAAAATCGAATTAAAATGTACATTTTGAACTTAGTACTATTTTAAACAATTTGGACTATTACATATACGGGTCGTGTATAACTTGCGCAGGAAACTCCATCAGGATGAGAAGTTTTATTAAACTGTATATTAAAATATATTACAGAATTTAGCGTATATCAACGTAAACCTTCAAATCCATTCGGGCAATTCCTTGACTCAAGTAAATAGTATGTATGCAGTAGACGCCTTCTGGAACTGGAAGGACTTTTGTCAGCATGTTATCCAAGTGACTAATGGGCAGCTTGTTCACAAAAAAATCATGCTGTAAACAAAATAAATTAGATTTTTTTGAAATATAAAATGTAAATTTACCTACATCGTAAGGACAATTGTGAAGCACGTTTGAGTAGGAAGCAAAAATATCATAAAAGAACTTAGTTGGCATACTTTTTTTTTGTCCTTTTAGAAACTTACAACCGTCGACAGTGAAGTTAAACAAAAATGGTTTATAGCCATTCAACCTCTTTAGGACCTCCACTCTTACCTAAAATAATTGAGGGATATAAGATCGATATAACATTAACTACAATAGATTGTTACACACTGTTATATCATTCACAGGGAACTGGTAAATCCTTGTCCGGAAACTCATATACTTGTAAGTGCGATTAACTGATTTCAGGAAGCATTCATCGAAACCCATAAAATCTTTATCCAGCGACGTACACTCTATATTTTTGAATTCAAATTTACAGTGTATCTAAGGATGAGGTATTTAATTTTAAACGTTTTTTTTTGTTTCAGCAATATTACTTACTTTTTTAACCAAAAATATTAAAATGACTAAGAGAATAGCCTGTATCGATTTGAACGCCACCATGGTTGAGTTACTATTGAACTAAGTAAGTCATATCCCATATTTGATTTATAGAAGCAATTATTTTTAAATTTGTATTAATATCATAAATAGAATTTACACACACATAATAAACACAATTAAATAGTTACAAAGTCCAAAGCGTTCAAGAATAACCAAACAAAACCAAATCCATGGCACTACTTAGTTTTAAAAAATAACTTTCAAGAATAAGTTGTTTAGGCAATTAGCTTTAAATTAAAAATTTTATTAATAAAATATTTTAAAGAAAAACCAGATCTCAATCGATTAAAGCGTGCGAATATAAGCTTTAAAAAGATTTGGAAGACCCTCGAATAACGATCACTCGCCCCACACAATGCTCTCAATCCAGTCGGTAAAAAGATGGACCTTTGTGTAGACACTGGGTAGGCCCTGAGATCCACACACCAAGCCGTACGAAACCACACCAATCACCTGCTTGAGGCAAGGATACAGAGGATGCTGCACGAAAATGGGTCCCCCAGAATCGCCGTTGCACGTATCCGCCTCACTGTTCATCGATCCAGCGCAAAACTGGGTACGAGTTTCAATTTTAAAGCGCAGCCGGTCCTGACAGTCCTGATCGCTGAAGCGCTGCAAGTTGACTTTCAGCAGGTGGGAGGACTTGACCCCTTCCTTTGTAAATCCCCAGCCAGCGGCAGTGACCTGTGAATTCTCATTTCCACTGGCGAGTGGAAGACATACCGCCGCAACATGGTCGGTAAATTCAGCATTCCGATCTAGTTCGATCAAGGCTATATCATTTTTGAAGCCGCGCTCCTCGTCCTCATCGTCGTAACCAGGGTGTATTACATAGTTTACCACCCGAAAGTCCTGTATCCGTGCATCATCAGTGGTGCTATTATAGTCCAATTCTCCCAAACGGACTACGAACTTGAGCGAGTCGAAGTTGGGGTCCAATCGTTCAGCTTTTGATCTGCAATTTTTGGTGAAAAGTTGATATGTTATTATATAAATGCACCCATTCTCTTACTCGTCAGTCTCCAGGCAGTGAGCTGCTGTCAGTACGAATCTGGGGTGAATTAGAGAACCCCCACAGTCCCAGTTTGGAGGAGCCGAGCTATTGACTCTTTGTGTGCCAATCAGCGCCATAAAGGGGAACTCCCGGCCAGATGCCTTGGTCCCACCCACAATAAAGGGAGTGGATTGGCAGGCAGTCCGAGCTTCGTTGTATTCCTTACAGTCTGCGGAATTTTTTCATGAGTAGAGTCTTAAGAAAGAATTTAAAAACAATTCTTACGCTTCTCCGACGGCCTTGAACCCTCTACCGGTTGGATGTTTTGCTGGTTAAGCGGAATGGGACAACAAACAATATCGTTGAACTCGTCGCAGAACTTCAGTCTGGATCCCAACAAGTGCAGGCTTTGGAATATTTCCGGACACTCTGTCGGCGACAGCTCCTTGCACTCGCCCGTTCCATTGTCACAGTATTCGGCCACCACGCCAATGAAAAACAGCAGCAACAACCGTTGGGGCCATTGTATTCCAGGTAACACAAGCATATCCGCCCGCTTTGCTAGCAAAACTGAGAGCCAGTCTGGGGGCCAGCTGCTTCCTGACCAGATCAACAGCCACAACTTAGCACGGACCAGCTTTAAGTTCTCAGAAACGAATCTCAGCTGTGTTAATGACTCATAAATGCAAGCTTTTCATTGAAGAAGACACCCAGGGAGATAGACGCAAAGCTTACGTATGTATATAATAAAAGGTAAATAATTATTTTACGCATAACTTATCTGAGAGATGTTTACAAAATACTTGGAAATTTAGCATAAAAATCAGATAGACTTAGTAAAATGCAAAAACCGGTCGCTGTTCAATAATACTAAAAACTTGGACTTAGTCTAGGGGTTGCTTTGTCTGCTTGCACATGTCTGAGAATATGTAATAGTTATAACTAATTGTGTCGCATGTTCTGAAGGTGTTGCTGCTGCTGTTGTTGCATATGTTGCATGTACATTTGCTGGTGTTGCTGCTGATTCAGTTGCTGTTGGGGATTGCCGCCGCTACCCAGAGGAACACTAGTCGTTTGTGGTAAATTAACCTGGTGCTGCTGCATTGGCTGTTGATGCTGAGGTTGCTGCGGCGATTGTGTTTGATTTGTTACCGTAGTTGCATTACCCTCGGAACTGTAATGAAATAATGTTTCATTAAATTAAAATCATTCTCCATTAAATTCTCAAAAATTCCTACACTTTTTCCGAATGAATGTCCTCCAGATTCAGATGAGTTATAAACCGCAACCGCATTTGTAGCAGAGGGCGTAACCGCTTTATAATTGCTTCTGATTCGTTTTTGATAATGTTACCCACGTGTATATACTTGATATGATATCTAAAAATAGATAAAAATAGATAAAAATATATAAAAATAGCATTACTTGACTAATTATTACAGTCTTTTAGTTTTCTTACAGAAAATCGCAAATTTGGTCCATATACACGAGTGGCTTTGGTCCATGCTGCTTGTCAACTATCTCCAGAATCTCATAAAGCAGCACAGCTATGCCAGCCACAGCATTAGGCTTCTCCAGTTCAATGCGTTGCAAAAAGGGTCCAAATACATGGCATAGGTACAGCAACTGCTGCTCGGTGCGTACACAAGGCTTTAGCTTCTCCTTCAGATATCTCGTCATCGCCGCCAATTTAAAGGCGCCCATGTGATGGAATACGGAGTGAGCTACAGCCAACACTACAGCGTAGCTTTTCTCCAGCATCGCCTCCCGAACGGTTTTGAAGTTGAACAGCTCGAAGGCGTTAAATCTATACGTCCAATTAAGCATATTGGGAGTATTGAGCATGTCCTGCAACCGATCATAGATGCCACTCCAATACGGCTCTGGTAAGGCGGCCAGAACAATGCCCACCGCATTTATATACCCATGGATTTCTTTCTGGGGAATAACCGCATAGCCACTGACAATAACGTCAATAATGTTGTTGGCGACCAGGGCTGGTGCCACTGGCAGACCCAGCAGCTCCACACAGGTTACATATAGGGCATGAGTTGGGGCATTGGGGAATTCGTTGAACCTCCAGTCCGTTGAGTAAAACACATTCTTTCCACTGATGGCTGATAAAGGAAATTACACTTAACACGTGAGCCATACTGAACACTATTCAAATATACTCACTATCTGCCAAACGACGGATTAAACTCATATAGTAGCTTAACTCAGGGGTCCAGAGCAAATCCTGATTTTGCAAAAACACCTTATAAGGCTCACTCACACTCCAGTTTGGCGGGCGAATCTCACTGAAGGCGCTGGTAATGGCACTAACCAGTTTTTTCTTCAAGGATGGACGATCCCTGAGTATTCGCTCATAATAGTGCAGGGTGTTGTATAAATATGTAATAGGTCGATCTAATGGATAGATAAATTCTTAATAAATGTGTTTGAATACCCAGGGGGTACTGGCTGCTTACCATGAAATTTATAGAGTATGCTGAGATGATCTAATATGAAACCGAGGATTTGGTGGACATTCGGGATAGTTAGCTCAATGAAACGATGCACAACCACATCCAATACGGGCAGGAAGCGCAGACATACGTTGCTAAAGTATACAGGCAGCGGTATCTGGGAAGCTGACTCGTCCAAGGCGAACTTCTCCGGGTACTTTTGGTGGAAGGATAAATGCTTGTCTTGCCTGCAAAAAAGAGAAACCAATTGCATCATAAAAGTCACAAACATAGACTGGAAATCACTTACCAATTACTCTGCTTCCAATGATCGGGATTGTTGTCTTTACAGAACTCTTGAACGCGATTTCGAAGCTCACTGGCTTTCAGCAGCAAGAGCTGTATAATCAGGAAACATACCTGCGCCTCGTTACCTTCGTGGGTGCGCAAAGCCAGACACAGGACCACACGGTCAATGGTAACAACATTGAACTTCCAAATCATATTGTTAATGGTATCCACGCACTTGTGAATAAAGTCGCGACCATCCGAAGAACTAGCAACCTCGGCTACAAGGTAGTCGCAGAATTTACGCAAATGCGTAGATAAAGCTCTCGCACTAATGCCTTCTAGGATCCTGAAATAAAATTCCAAAGTTGGGGAAAACGACAAAAAATATATATTTCATTTGGTACACACTTGTAAGCCACTGGACTTATGTTCTCTGTTTCCCAAATGATCTTGAAGAGAAGGCAAAGGAACAACGGATTTGTAGTAGGCCTCAGAAAGTGCGCGATAATGTCATTCTCGTTTGTCATCGACGTCCAGGTGCGATACTCCTCCTCTACAGATTTCTTTAACTGCTGCTTGTTCTCTGCAGGTTGATTGTTTTGGGTGAAATATTCATTTAAGGCAGGCGGAAAACAGGCCAGAGACTGCATGGGCCAGGAGTGTGGCGTGTGTTGCATGATGTTAGACAGAAAGTCCTTGCACCAGCCCTGCATCTCATCGCCACCCCCGTGCACGTGCATAGAGCGAGCCAGAGTAAGGATCAGCACCCGATTTAGCTCCTCACTTTCGTTAGATGCTACCGTTCCTGGAGACTTGTCGTTAAAATAACGAGAGAACTGAGGCTGGAACTCTGCTGATCCAATGCTTGTTATTAACCGAAGGGCAGTAGATTCAAAGCTATAAGAGACTAATGTCAATAAAAAATAATCATTGATGGATAATGTGAACCTACCAAAGATTTAATTGCATTTTGTTTGTCTGCGGGACGGTGGAGAGAGGGTGAAGCAGGGAAAGTAATTGAACCCTGTAGTGGGTGGGCACATGGTGCAATCGGTAAGAAAACATCTCCATGAGTGTGTGCAACATAGCCCAGGCCTGGTTCTTAAAAACAATGGGCATCAATTGACCTAAAAAGGGGGCAAGTTTTTATATAAATACATAAATACATTAAAATCAATGTAGATAAAACTTACTTAGGAACCCTTTAATGCCCAAAGACTCGATTTCCGTATAGACTAGTAATCTAGCATAGGTTTCTAAGAGCGCCGCTGCTGGTACTTGACCTTTTGACTGCGCCTGTTTCAGCATCTGGGTTACAAAGCTGTGGATCAGCGACATCTTGCTGTGAACCGTAAGGCTGTCCAGTACTGTGACAGAAAATGTAACGGCTGGTATTTGAGCTCCATTCGGTGACTTGGATGTGCCATTAAGAGCATCCAATAGAAGACCCATCGGTCGACCGAAGTACTCTTGATTCGTTGAGTAGGCATTGCAGATGAGAATGATGCGAAAGTCGTTGCCCAAGCTCATATTCATCATCGTGTTGGGCGTTACTAGGTGCTGAAGAAAGCTGTGGAAATACTAGAATTTTATGGCTACCAAAATAACGATTTCTTTGCGGACTTACTCGTAGTGATTTTTCAGAGCAATGGGTAAAGGACGAGTTATGTTCATGTTCTCCACTCGTGCCTTCTTCATCAGATGAATCCACACGCAAATGGGTGCCATGTGGCGAACCATTGACGATTTATTAATATCCGGTAGCTTGAGAGGTTCCAGCTCGGGATATAGGAGATCAAACAGTCTGAAAACTGGCAGGAAGTTGGTGATCTGAAAGATAAACTATTGTTTAGGATTTCAGCAAATTGAACAAAATATTTGTAGACTTACAGGATTTTTCTGGATGCTTCCTGAGATAAATTGCAGCAAAATCCACATCAATTGATCACGTCCTTTGCGGAGTTCCAGTTTCGAAAGCTTTTGTAAAATAATCGATTCGTTTAAGACATTTAATGAGTCAGTGAAATAAATACCTTTTCGTGCAGGGCTAGGACAATGTGCATAAAGCTAACAAATTGAAAGAGCACAAAGTATATCAACTGTGAGGAGAGGTGCAGCCAGACCCACTCGTAGGGCGTGATCTGTTCATCGGAGGCATTGAAGCCACTGCCTGCAGTCGCGTCATTTGCCTCCGTCATTTCCATGGCCTGAACAATCAAATTCACCAGCTGCTCTTCCAGTGCGTTGTAGCGCTGCTTCTGATGCTTTTGTAGGTTCAGCATTTGCGACACCATCTCCCGCGAATAGGGCTGCTCAAGTACGTACCGAAGTAGTGGTTTCTGCTCTTCGAGAAGCTCTGGTTCATAGGGTAAAATTCCTTTAAAATTAAACTTCAGGGTGTTGTGATCTAGTCGCCAGGAATTCATCATATGATCGGCGTAGCCAAAGTGTTCTACGATGGGCAACATGTTGGCGTGCCCAATTATAGACACCATTTGTGCTGTGGTGCGAAACTCTTCAACAAAGTCCGTCATCAGGCGATTGAGTTTCCAGTGATAGGGAAAGGGACGCATAATTTCATTGGCAATGAAATAGGCGGGAAGCAGGCAGTTATTACGATCGAAGATGTAGCGAAGGATATCTTCCACAGCCAGCAGCTGGGGCATATAAGTAACATTTACGTTAAGCGGAAACCATTGTGCCTTGTCTCGGCACACCTTCATAATTTCCCGAACACCCTTGTAGTCCACTTGCATGATTACCCGCTTGATAAGCCGGAAACTTTCTATCCAGAATGTCTTGTGCTCGTAGTCTAGTTTCTCACACATCAGCACTTTGTCACAGAGCATCCGAGCAGTGATTACGTGTGCATCCACCAGCTTCACTAGAGCATCCATCAACACTTTCATATGGTAGCCTGAGGCACTGGAGGTTCGCAGGATGTACTGCTTCAGAACCTGTTCCCGGTTCTCCTGCGGCACATTGCCAAACGCCGTAACTGAAATAGGCTTCTGTTAATATCGACCAATTCTTCAAAGAGCATCTATTTACCCAGGTCATTTGTGAAATTGGTGGCCCTATTCTCCTCTCCATTTGGCTTGAAAACAATGACGCTCACAAACGCCTCGTCAATGGAGTCCACCTTCTGTGAAATTAAAGGAGCAGAGTGAACGAATGGATTGCCTCTTGTTTTAAACAATTTACTTACCAAAAACTCATTGACAGTGTCAATAACTTGCGTTTCCGTATCCATTTAAACGTTTTTTCGCATTTCCGACAGTATAAACAAATCGCGTCTTTGGAACCGGCGGAACACAATGTGACCAGGTGAGTTAATTTATATATGTGCTAACAAAGTGGAACATCTCAAAATAAACCCTTGTAATGGTACGTTGTAAGCCCTAAAATAAATTAAAAAATAAAAATAAAACCAGCTTTAGTTTATTATTAGGAAGTAAGAAAAAAAGAGCTTACAACCTTAATTTAATGCACACAAAAAGCGAAGTTACCTGCTTGGATTATTAAGAAATTTGGTCACTCTACTCGTGGAGTTGGGAAACCAGTTGATTTGTCCGTGGAGGATTCGCACAAAAGATGAAGAAAGTGCTGGTTACAGGTGGGAGTGGACTCGTGGGCAAGGCGTTGGAAGCCATCATCAAGGAGCAGGCTCCATCAGATGAGCAATGGTACTTTGCCGGCTCCAAGGACGCGGATTTGACGTGAGTAACATGATCCCGTAAAGCAAAAGTTAAAAACTAACGATTTTCTTAGTAATCTGGCAGCCACGCAGTCACTCTTCCAACGGGAACAGCCCACACACGTCATTCACCTAGCCGCCATGGTTGGAGGACTGTTCCATAACATGAACAACAACCTGGACTTCTTGGTGAGAGGAGAGGTTCAAAAACGAAGTGTCAAATTCTGTAATCTTATCTATTCCTTTTCAGCGCAACAACCTGCTGATCAACGACCACGTCCTTCAGACAGCTCATGAGCAGGGCTGCGTCAAGGTGGTGTCCTGTCTGTCCACCTGCATTTTCCCAGACAAAACTAGCTACCCGATTGATGAGACAATGGTGCACAACGGTCCGCCACACCCCTCTAACTACGGCTACTCCTACGCCAAGAGGCTGATAGATGTGCAGAACCACGCCTATCATGACAAATACGGGCGGCTGTATACCTCTGTGATTCCATGCAACATTTTCGGGCCTCACGATAACTATAAGCCCGAGGTTAGTCACGTAATACCTGGAATGATCAACCGTATGCATAAGTTGATTAACGAGGAACCGGAGGTTCCGGAAACCGAAAAGGTCTTCACCGTATTCGGAAGTGGCAAACCACTGCGTCAATTCATTTACTCTCTGGATCTGGCAGAGCTAATGATCTGGGTGCTAAGGAACTATGAAAGTGTAGAACCGATTATCTTGAGTGTGGATGAGGCTCAGGAAGTGACCATTTATGAAGTGGCAGAGACCATAGCTAAGGCGTTTAACTTTAAGGTAAGCTTCGCATCTTATATTATTAAAATGTACTAAACCGTACTTTTTAGGGAAAACTGGTCTGTGATACAAGCAAGGCAGATGGTCAGTTTAAGAAAACTGCCTCCAATGCCAAGCTGCGCTCTCTCCTGCCGAACTACTCGTTTACGGACTTTGAAAATGCCATTAAAACATCGGTGGATTGGTACAAAGACAACTACGACCAGGCTAGAAAGTAATTTCAAACATATGTCGCAAAAATGTAAATAATATTACTGTCCAATGAATTTGATGCATTTTTTACATAATTTTTAAGTTCAACAATAAAACAATGCCTAATGTGTGACCTCAGTCTGTCCAGGAGTCGCCGTATTTGTTCTTCTTGGCATTAGTAGGCGGATCGATGGGCGTAGGCTCCACTGGCCTCTGCTGAACGGGAGCCTGCGGCTCGTATGGCTTCGAGTAGGGACTCTGCATACGCTTGGCATACTCATCGCGGTTCTTCCGACGCAGGTCCTCATATGACTGACCCGGCTTTGCCGCCTCCAAAGGCAATTCGGTATCCAGCATCGCAGAAGCTAAAGAAAATCATGTTACTTCGGGACAGAACATTGACAAGAAATTACTCACAGTCCAGTGTGGGCCGGTAAATGTCATCGAGACCGGATAATGTGGGCCTAGATTCTGTGTCCAAGTTAAGAGCACTGCTCCTGCCTGGCTGGTACGCCTCATCGCTATACACATCCGCAGAGCTGGGTGTGAAGGGGGCCAGTGTAAACGCCCGGCCCAGATTCTCGTCAGGGGTAATGGTACTTATGACTCCACCACCTTGACGTCGCTGCCGAAGAAGCTCCCCCAGGTGGGAATTGGGCAACCGCATTATTTTTTCGGCACACTTTTGCTGATAGCTAAACTTTCCTACGAAGTAGCCTAGAATGACGCCCATGACGACCTTGGGAACGGCGCCGTATTTCCCGTGACCCTGTAGATAGCCATTCTTTACACCAAAGTAGGCCAATAGGCCGAGGCCAGTGCCGAAGGGAAGACTCCTTTGAAAGAATGACTCTGTATTGCACTCACGTAACGCCCTCACTTCCTCGGCTGAGAACTGATAGTCTGCCTAAAAAGTATTATATGTTATTATTGTGTGAATCGGGAGTAGATTCAGGACTCACCAATGGATGAGGAGTATTCTGCTGTGGCGGATTAGACCCATCGTTGAGAGGTAAGTCCATGATGATACAATTTAATAAATAATTTGTGAAATCAAGAAAACCAAATACCGGTAAAGATGATTTGGTAACCCTGGTCTCCGGCGAAACAGCCCTGTGTTGTGCCCCCTGTTAGAGAAGGACCTTGTCGTCGATAGTCTTATCAGTATCCTAGTGTGAATAAATGATGTATTATTTTTATAACATAAGAGGATAATACTTTAGTAATTAAAGGAGTATATATATTTTTTAAATGCTTGTTTTGATGGTATTTTTCTTAAATATATTAACGGTGTCCACGATCACACGGTTCTGACACACAAAGCAGGCTGAAAACAAACAAAACAAAAACAGGTGCAAGAATTGTCGGAAAAAAGCCGTGCCGTCACCTTATTCCTTATCACAAAAACACACACCGACAACCAAAACTGTTCAAAATTGGCTGTAAAAACCAAGGAGCGCGTGCGGCGTGAAACGTGAAAAAACGCACCACCAGCACCAGGGATGCAACACGCACGACGCGACGAGAACGATATTATGACATTTTCGCTGTCAAGTAAAGTTACAGCTGTGTCGTCTGCTGGGCCCGATCCCGAGCCTGTTGTTGTAATCAATTAAAGTTTTGTATTTTTGGAAATGTTCTCCACCACCACACACTCTGTGGTAAGTCCAAGGATCGTTGGCCCTTTGCCTCGGCTATTAATTATCCTCTCCCACTCACTCTCTGCCGTTTGTTGGGAAATTGGAATCGGATGACAGCCCTACCTGTACCTAGGCAACTTTAGCAGAAAGCCGCACTACTACACGGTAAAACGTACCAAGCTTCAAGGGAGCGCGGGTTCGTCGCGATTCTCCAAGTCCGCCGGAAGCCGAAGTCATGACCTAGTCCTCGACCTACGGAACCTGCTCAGCAGGTCAGGATCCAGCTTGCAAGGCATGGTGGAGAAGGCAGCGCGGGCGCGGCTGAACGGCATTCTCGATCGGGATCTGGTGAATGAGGCGCTGGCAAAGGTCACCAGCATTCTTCCCGCCATGCGCGATGTCCGAGTAACGCTTGAGGAGCCCGCCACACAACATGGCTGTGCCCAGCTACAAAATTATCAGTTCGAAGTTTCACTGACTAGAACAGCAGGTGCCCATCCTACTGGCGCACATGTGTAGGTTATTTTATAAATGTTTCACAATACGTGTCTCACGAGTCTTTTTTATAATACAGGAAGGTGATTCCAACAATGTCGCCAGGTCTTCTTCGTCCACTCTTCACCGCTCAACAGTTGTGAGTATCCGGAACTAATCTTTAACCTTCCTCGCTAAATGTCAACCTTTTCTAGAAAACAGTTGCGTGGCTTTAAAACGGATCGTTCTATTGAGGCGGAACAGAAGCGCAATCCCACAATGACTTCACGCTTAAAAAACGCTCTGTCTAATTCGCCACAACGCCCTGATGGAGAGTCAAATTTCCAGGCGGAGAAGCTAAGAAAGCTGCTTGCCAAGAACGACGATAATCCAAATAGCCAAAATGCGGTGCGTTTAAACCCAAAATCAACTTGGAACCTATGTTTTATTGTATTTTTTAATTAGGAAAACCTTAAGATTGCTTTTGCTGAGGGTTATTTGGCAGCCGCCAACGCTGAGGACTCACCCAAATCCGGGAAAACAATGAAATATCTTAAGGTAAGAAATGTTGTGTATAAACTTGAAGACGTACTTCCAAATCTCTTTAGATTCGGTAGTCCTGGCTTCCCAATACTCTGAATAATACACAGTAACTATCACACAGATTTTCCAGACACTCGTAGTGATCGTGGTATTCCTGGGAATATTTCTAAGCTTCTTTACCACCTCAAATGGATCCGTCTTCCGGTGAGCCCTGAAATTTGTTTTGTTTCTTGTCAGTATTAACGTAATCCTTATTTTTAGTAGCATTCAACTGGGCAATCAGGTGGAGGTGGACCCGGAGGAGATTAATGTCACTTTCGAGGACGTTAAGGGTTGCGACGAAGCAAAGCAGGAGCTTAAGGAGGTGGTGGAATTCCTCAAGAACCCGGAAAAGTTCTCCAATCTGGGCGGTAAGCTCCCAAAGGGTGTCCTTCTAGTGGGTCCTCCGGGCACTGGAAAAACATTGCTAGCCCGTGCCGTAGCCGGTGAGGCCAAAGTTCCTTTCTTTCATGCTGCCGGACCTGAATTCGACGAGGTGCTTGTTGGTCAGGGCGCCAGACGGGTTCGCGATTTATTTAGTAAGTGGATGTTTAATTTGTAAGATTTCTTCAGTTAATCGAAGTTTATTATAGAGGCGGCAAAGGCCCGTGCTCCGTGTGTGATCTTTATTGACGAGATCGACTCTGTGGGCGCCAAACGAACCAATTCAGTGTTGCATCCGTACGCAAACCAGACCATTAACCAGCTGCTTTCAGAAATGGATGGTTTTCATCAAAACGCTGGTGTCATTGTCCTAGGAGCTACCAACCGTAGGGATGATCTGGATCAGGCTCTTCTCAGACCGGGTCGTTTCGATGTGGAGGTAATGGTCTCCACACCCGACTTTACCGGTCGGAAAGAGATTTTGTCTCTGTATCTGACCAAGATACTGCATGATGAGATTGATCTAGACATGCTGGCGCGTGGAACTTCCGGCTTCACTGGAGCTGATTTGGAGAACATGATTAACCAAGCCGCATTAAGGTAATTTCTCTGAAAATATATCGAATTCTAACTATAAACCTACATTATAGAGCCGCCATCGACGGAGCTGATACGGTGAGCATGAAGCATCTAGAGACGGCGAGGGACAAGGTACTTATGGGCCCTGAACGGAAGCAACGTCTTCCGGACGAGGAGGCTAACACCATTACCGCTTATCATGAAGGTGGCCACGCAATTGTGGCTTTTTACACAAAAGAATCGCATCCACTTCATAAAGTAACTATTATGCCGCGAGGACCGTCATTGGGTCACACAGCTTACATCCCCGAAAAGGAACGCTACCACGTCACAAAGGCGCAGCTGCTAGCGATGATGGACACAATGATGGGCGGACGTGCTGCCGAGGAACTTGTTTTTGGAGCCGACAAGATCACGTCGGGCGCAAGCAGCGATCTAAAGCAAGCCACCACAATCGCTACGCATATGGTCCGGGACTGGGGTATGTCGGATAAAGTTGGATTGCGCACTATCGAGGTTCCCAAGGGTTTGGGCGCCGGGGAGACCCTCGGCCCCAACACTGTGGAAGCTGTTGATGCCGAAATCAAGCGTATCCTCAGCGATAGCTACGAGAGGGCGAAGGCCATCCTGCGTAAGCATACCAAAGAGCACAAGGCGCTGGCGGAAGCGCTGCTCAAATACGAGACACTGGATGCCGACGACATCAAGGCGATTTTGCACGACAACCAGACGTAGTTACATTAAATTCAATGGTGTGGTTTGCAGATTGGAGACGCCCTTTTCTGGGCCACTCAGCTGAACTGCTAAATAATTTTTAGTTACAATATAAAAAAAAAACGAGTAAAGAGCCAAGCAAGAGCGGGACGCAGACGGACAGTTAAGAAATAAAATGTTACACATATTTAGTTATGTTTTCCATTACCACGTATTATTAAATTTTAGTTTGGAGTAATAAAAAATTGACGAATAAGTTGAATTTGGCGGCAACAGAACAAGGCAGCACTGTGTGACCAGGCATGGGGGTTAACTAAATTTCTATTCCTAATTTAAGTTTATTCCTTTTAAGAAATAAGATGTTTGAGAATTAAATTTTATAAGTTTTTTAATTAATAATATGAAATACAATTTAGATACAACTCAAATTCGTTTGGATTTTGACATTGCCAGGATGCGGCCACACTAAAAGACCATTCACAGTACCTCGCACATCGTTCTACTTGTCCTATTTGCCGAATTCCAATTCATGTTTTTTCGGTGGAGCAAATTTATAAAATAATCAGATAAAATGTGCGACTACAAGCTATCCGAGCGGGCCTACACTAAGCTGATATTCCACGCCGCCAAGTATCCCCACCAGGCGGTAAACGGGCTGCTACTGGCCGAGAAATCGTCGAAGGGCTCTCTGGTAGAGATTGTGGATTCGATTCCCCTCTTCCACCAGTGCCTCTATGTAACCCCAATGGCTGAGGTGGCCCTCATGCAGGTAATTAACAATTGCCGGACCACAAATGTAGGTCAGCTTATATCCGGGCGGATGTCGAGGGGTTGTAGTACCCCTATCCGGACTAGAGCATTTACCAAATGAACTTTAGTCCCATATGGTGGTTTTGAATGAAAATTTTATAAAATTCTGGCTTATGGTTTTATACCAAATAGTGCTACTCGCTTAGGCACAGTCCATAATAATCCAATCCTTATAATCCATCCCCCTCTTACAGATCGATGCCTACGCCGAACGCGAAGGTCTGGTGATTGGTGGATACTATGCCGCATCGGAGAACTTCTATGAAAACCAGATTGACAAAGTGCCGGCCACAAAGATTGCCGACAAAATACAGGAGAATTTCAAAAACGCTTGCTTCGCGGTGGTGGACAACAAGCTGGTGACCCTGCAGCATGACCGACCCGCCATACAGGTCTTCAGCAGCTCTAGCGAGTCCGGCTCTGGGAGCGCCCGATGGTCAAAGGCCAAGTTTACGCTGGCGCAGTCGTCCCAAACTCTCGAGGGCGTTTCTCTGCTGCTTAAGCGCGGAGCAATGCGCGACGTGGTGGATTTCGACAATCATCTGGATAATCCGGAGAATGATTGGACCAATGACTTTCTGAATCAGTCGCTAAACGACCTGCAGAAGCTTTACTAGTCGCTTGTTTTTTTTTCCAACGTACGTACGTTTGTTTTAGGGTAGCAAATTCTTAAATAGCATTTGGAAGAGCATTCGGAATTTCAACCTTGCAATTTAATTTATTGTAATTACAATTGGATTTCAGTAATCTTTAGAATAATGCATATAAGTTAAATAACATTCAACTAATTAATAAATAATCAATTCTTTTATCTTGTATGCGTCAAATTTTGTCTATAGTCCGGTTCCGTCCGTCCTTTCAGTCTGTCCGTCCGTATTATTCACGTAATATCAGATTTGTGTCCTGTTCGGTTTCTGTCTCGAGTAAACCTAAGCGTGTTACAATTATTGTTAATAAATACAGATGAATAATATGTATATAATTTTGCTCTTGGTTTTCCTGGCTTGTAAATTTAAATATTTTACAACAATATTGTAATATCGCGATTGCTGATTATACATAGGTATACATAATACGTACTTATATGGATATATCGGAGATCGAAAGTATCGCAAAAACGTTTATTAATTTCAGTGTATTGTATATTTCCATATTATATCTGATCGAACGCATAACGAACTCTTTACACCGTACACTTAATGTACATACATATACTGGGGGGAATTACGGATTACCAATAACGGATAACGGATTACGGGACTCTGGATCTCGGATCTCCAACAGGTTCGTGCCATTCTGGGCATTTTGCTCTTAGATATTTGATTTGCCATTTACTGTTTGCTTTTTGAGTTCTGATTGTGAGTATTCTGGATATGACGAGGAGGAGCAGTATGCGTGTGTATAATATCATAGTTTAGTTCTGTCGTGGATAGTTGCTTGCTTGAGTATTTTTCACCCGGTGTCCGCTGGAGGGTATGGGCAGGTGTGGGTGTGGTCGTGGTCGTGGGTTGGGGATGGGTCTAAAACGGATTCTATATGGGGGGGCGCCTTTTGATTATATCCTAGCTATACAAGTGCGCCTGAACACGCAAGCATTTATCAGTATGTACGAGTATGAGGCCTGTCCACATCATGATGTATGTTGGTTTTGGTTTTGGTTTTGGTTGGTGTGTCTGTGTTCCGGTCCACCACATGTTATGTTAGTTGATCTATAAGAATGCAATAGAGAAGTTATGAGTCAGTGAGATGCGATCGGGGAGTATCGGGGGTAAGATTAGCGAATAACACCCAAAACGGAAGATGGTTTTTGGTTTTGCAATTTTGAAAGTATCTAGGGATGTGTGTGTGTGCAAATCGATATTCATATCTTTGAGCTACTACGTGATGAGATTGTGGTGGGTGGGATGTGTATCTGAGGGGTGTTGGGGATTGCATCTAGAGCTTGCCACCTCCGATATTTACCATTCCCGCGGACAGAGAGTTGATGGCATCTTCCACCGTCGGCTTGTGTCGATCGATTTTAGATGAGTTTATGGGCGAGAAGTTGTCTACGATTGCAAGCGTGAACGAATACACATATACAGATAGATATAGAAACACAAAAAGCGATTTCAAAGCAAATCTCAAGTGCCAATTACCGAGATCACCACTCGAACTGGAGTCCGTAAAACTGGGTGTGCCCTCTGTCCATGTGGGAGTGGAGCCCTCACCTGAAGCGGGCGGTGTCCAGGCCAGGCCGCCGCGGGAACCGTACTGGCTGCTCGAAGACGTGTCCACCGCCAGGAGTGTGTCCAGGTGCACCTCAGAGACGCTGTTGGTTAAATTTATAGACTTTTATGTCCTCGTTCCTTTTTTAATTACTTACCTCACAATGTCCTCCTTGTAGGAGCCACGATAGGCGGGTCCGATGTTCATCTTTCGGTCCAGATAGCCCGATTGCTGCGACTGCTGGTGCTGCTGATGATGATGGTGGTGGTGGTGCTGATGGTGGTGGGACCGACGCCCCATCGAAGAGGTGCTGTTCTTGTTCGAGCTGTCCTCGGAGATGTCGTCAAAGGCGGGGGGCGGGGTCGAGCTGCATGATGGCGTTGTGCCTAGCGATACGATGAGATCAGAGCAGAACATACAACGGAATGAGTGAACGCTAAAGTCAACTGTAAAATATACAAAAATAATATCTAATGTCTAGTGGCTAAAGCATAGATGTAGGAAGAGAAGCTACTCCCGAAGCTTATCCCCGGCCCGTCGATGTGCCTTCGCTTTCGGGTATCGTAGAGGGTGCTGCCTTGGGGGCCCGCCTCTTGGGGCGGCGGCCTTTCTGGGGAGCGGGAGGACTCCTCGGAACCGTTTCCGTTTCTGGTGTGAGCCGCGGCAAAGGCCTTTTAGGCCGACGAGTGGCCTCCAGCTCTCGCTTCACCTCTAGAAAAGTACTGACCGACTGCAGCAAGTTTTCTTCCTGATCCTGGGGATTATCGCAGTCTTCGCCTCCCAAAGCCAGATCTACATAGTGAAGATATCGCTGGCGCTTCTGTTGCCGCTTCAGTTTCTCTTGAACCCCGCGCCGCGGCGAACGTTGGCTTGGAATACTACCCGAGGATCGGGATCGTCCAGTTCGATAGCTATCCGCCCGAATGGGAGGAAAGTTGCGCACTATCGACCCCACCGAGGAGCGTTCACTGCGCGCCACAAAACTGTTCTGCCGCTGGAAGATGTCCACGTGGTTCAGAAGTCGTGGGGGCTGTCGCCGAAAGCTGCTCTCGGACCGAGCGGTGGAATAGGTCGAGTGTAGAGATTCCCTACGTCGCAAGGAGGAGCGTCTCAGTAGAGCCACCGTGGGCTCTACTAGAGGAGCTGGAGGAGCACTAGCTGGACCATTGTCAGTGGTATCGAACAAATCATGCAATTCCAGCCAATCCTGGACGTTGCTGGGCGATCGCCGGTCGCCGAATCGGGGCATGCCCTCGACCTGGGGCACTTGGAGAGTGTGGGCTGCCACAGAAATAGGATTAGTAGTGTGCGGTTCTGTACCTGGAGTCGAACGATCCTGGGCATCTTTGCGTCGAGGTGAACCACGTGGTGGCACGGGCGGTGGCACCCGCGCCTTGAGATTGCTGGGCGCCGGGGTTCGCTGCTTAACGGGTGGTGGCGCCCGCTCATTGCTGGCCGAACCAGAAGCGGCACCTGATCCTGCCCCGCTACCTCCTGCGTGGCCTCCTCCCACTGCAGCTGGCGTTGGCTCCGTGGTGGGCGGTTTGGCTGGCTGGTGGATCTTGCCGCTGCTGTGCGAGTGCGAGGCGTGAACCGCTAAGGAGGATCGAAAAACGGATTACTTAACAGGATCATTTCTTTTCAGATTGGTGGGTGCTCCACTTACGCCTCGTGGCCGCCTCGTTGTCGCTGTCGATGGAGCGCTGAATGGCCTTGGAGAGGCTTTTTCTCTTCGAGGGCGAGTGCTTGAGCGCTGAAAAAGTTAATTAGAATTTAAAGTTAATCAAAGATCCTAGCCAAAAGATTGGGGGTCAAAAAGCATAGCACTCCGAAAGCAACTAGGCAAAGCCAAAGAGCAATACGGTTGCCAGGATGCCACGAGGACAACGACTAACGTGAGATTGAGAGGCATGCTTTGCGTCCATTTCGAAATCAATTAAAACCAAGAGGTGCACATAAAACATACATATATCTCGTTATTAAACATATTAGATAAGATCGGTGTAAGTGAAAAAGAATACAAGTATAATCAAATAAAAAGATATCTTTGATCGTTTAGTTTCATTACCTATGTAGCTGGTTACCAAGGTACGAAATTTTCTGTGATTCCCTTTGATCTCTGGGAGATCCACTATATGCGTAGGTGGAGAAAGTGATTGTGAATGCATTCGAGACATGGTTAAAAAGAAAGCAGAGAACAGAGCGATGTTGAGAAGGCTTGATTGATTCAGATTGACGGCTTCTACTCAGGCCAAGTGTACCATATTGCATTTTTGCTGCCCACATCGATCGATAGATAAACCCAAATTAGCAAGCTACTAGTGTGTCTAATGGTGTGTCTGTTGTGTAGTTTTTAGTGTAGCGTGTTTGGTCTAATTAGCTACTCAAAAAGTCTGGAACCGGAACTGAGTGCTTGCATAACTCGGCCAACTGCACACAAAAATGCCTTACAGTACGAGTACTTAGCCCGACTTCCACGACCGGTCCACTTACGGGAGGGTATCTTGCGGAACACGGTCTTGGCCATAAAGTTTTGGAATCTTTGAGCATAGAACGATGGCCGGCAGACCGAGACGGTTTCCTATAGGATTGTACAAAGTTATTAATTCAATTTCCTTAAAAGCATCTTTATGAAAAAATTTTGTGTTAAAATCATGTATATTTTTAGGTTACCACCTTTGCCTTATATCTTTTTCTAAGGAGTGCTCACCCCATCGTGTATGATGCTTTTGAATGTGTGCTCCAGTTTCTTCTTCAGCCTGTAGGACTGCAGAATATCGATGATACCAATGTAGAGCAAAAGGCGTTCGCCTTTTTCACTTCTCGCTGGGATTCCACCAGGTCTGCAAGGATGACACGTTAGTTTTATAGTCCATGTATTCCGTACAATACTTACGGCACATCCTCCTCGTCGTCGATGGGTTCACTCTCCGCCTGGATGCTCTCCATGGCCGTGGAGTGGGCCACCAGGCGCTGGCGGTTCACAGACCTGTATGCCGCACTAGATTAGCTCTCAGTTTAAATCCGTAATTTCAATAGCTACTCCATTTGGGATACTCACTTGTTCCGGCTGATGCCCGTGGCTGCATCACGATCCTTGCCGTCGCCATCCAGGCCATCCAACGGGTCGTCCACATCCACATCGGAGTCCTCGGCCAATGGCGCCCTCACAGGTTTTCTGTGCTCGCTCTGCTTCTCCTTCAAAGCCACGTCCAGATTGTGGACGCCCAGGAGCAGGGAGTAGTCCATGATTTTGAAGGACTCCAGCACCGTGCAATCCCGTTGAATGGTCTTGATCAGTGCCGAATAGGTCTCCGCCTCCAGGAAGATGCCGTTTGGATGCTGCTCCATAAAGTCCAGGTCCTTGTAAGTGGGTGACTTTTTGGACCGCTCAGCCTTGTTCGCTTTGCGCTTGAAGGTGGAGCCTTTCAGGTCATATTTCAGATGCATCTTCACGGACGATGGCAGCAGGTTGTTCATGACCACCAGACGAATGTTTTTGGCGTTGCTCGTTTGCAGGCAGTACAAGCCGAAGAACTTTGGCAATAGCGTGCGCGGATTTTGATTTAGATTCATATAGTAACTGAAAGATATAGGGACATATAGGATATGTTTTTAAAGACAAGAAGGTACTCGTACCCAGGCAGTAGTTTCTGTAAGAATTCACCCTCCTTGTGTTGCACCGTTTTAATGATGAACTCGTCGTCGTCCGTCAGGTAGAATATCGAGCCGGAAGCACCAGGATTGGACAGTTCCCTCAGCGGGGACGTGCACATGGACATCTACAATTAATATGTGTTTGTATTAATTATTTCATAGAATTAAGTTTATAATCTAACCATAAAATCATCTGGCTGGATGCCAAAAAGATCCCGAAAGTAGCGAAAAGCGATGGGCGCATAGATCTTGTATCTAAACTCGCTATAGTGGTGGGCAGGTGTAAGGCTAGATCCCTCTGGCGGAAAGGTAATGCTCTCGATCTCCCAGAAATCCATCATAAGCAAGTCGCGCTTGGGCTTCGAGGCCAGGCTTCCGACCTAAAAAGAGATTATGAGTGTGAAAACTCTTTAGAAAATCTATTGTATCTTTCGATTCATATTTTGGTTGGGAAATTCAAGGTTTTAAGGTATAATAAATCATAAAAATATCAATAATTCTCACTGTATGCTGAATGCCCAGTTGAATGGAGCCCATGATCTGAGACGTCTGTATCTTTTTGTACGTAATCTCGCCTCCTTCGCCGACGCGTCTGTGACCAATTTTTCGCTCCTTGTCCGCTTTGTTGGCCGCACGATTCGGACGGTTGCCCAGCTGGAATAGACCGAGAAGTACAATTGACCCTATTGGTTTCGATTAAATTGGCCTCGAGGGCCCCGACAGATGTACTTACGTCGGGCGATGCGTTGCCCACATGGTCGCCGGTGGAGGCTAAATTAAAAAACAAAAGTGGAGAGAGTTATTATTAGCTGTCATGTTTAATTCAACGCCCTATGACGCATTCCTGGTCAATCACCGCGACTTGAACTCGGACAAGCCCTCCAGAGCTTCCCACTCTCCAGTGCTAGGTCCCTAACTTCACCCACTCCATTTCACGCGAGTTACTTTCTTTTGTTATCATCCAAAAATATAAATACGAGCCGATGGAAAGTTGGTCGCTTGTCAGAAGCGGGGGAGGACTTGGGGGGTGGGGGCTCCCGAGGGGGTGCGTTTAGCTGGCTCTTCTTCTTCGACAGGCCTTTCCAGGGACAGGGGGCACACACTTCCATTTGCCAATCATTGATTTTTTTTTTTTCAAACGCTCTAACGGAGGAAAACGAGGCGATAGTTACCATTGCTGGGATCCGCTGGCTTGGCCTGGGACGTGGACGAGCTGTCCATGTCGATGGTATTGATGGTGTCGCCATCGCCGGAGGCCATCGTGGTGCTCCGTGATTTCAGCGCTCTCAGCCTACCCCGTGCTTATCGTCTGTCTTTTTGTCTCTGAGGGGGGCTTCACTAGGACATCCTGTCTGGCTGGGATTGGGTTTTGATGTCTGGCGTGGATCAGTGCGGATTATCCAATCGAGTGGGTCGGATTTTGGGGGCGGCAGGAACCTTGGCTCGTCTCTGTCGTTGGCGTCAACGTTTTTGCAATCTACGGCGATGTTGATGGCTCCTCTGCCACTGCTTTCATTTTTACTGCATACTCATAGGCGCACGGGAAGCCCTGGAAGTGGAAGCTCTCCCTTGGAAGTGCGCAGGAACACGGGCGCAGGGCTGCAAGCCCACAACATTACGACAATGCAGGGTTGTATTTCGATAAGGGTCCTAATACGCGATTCAAAACTTTGCGGCAAAAAATAAATTTGATAGGATCTTAAAAAGGTTCTTTTAAGGGTCCTAAAAACGATAAAAGCAGGGAGTAGTTTCATCCTTAATTTATAATTAAACAACCTGTTTTAAAAAGCAATTCCAATTTTATTTCATACTTTTTAATTGAAAGGTATACTCCAATAAAGAGTTCCCGAAATTTTACAATTAAAATACAATTTTATTAGCAAAGGACGAAAAACGACTAAAGCGATAAGTTTAATGCACTTTTCATGTTTTCTTTTCTATTTTTTATTAGCGTTTAGACTCTACTTCGTGTATATATATCATATGTATATATATTATATATATATTTGTTTATATAGTAAATATATGTCTGAATACAATATTATTCTGTCTTGGTATATTAGTAGTTTTGTGTTCCCGGGCAAGCTTGCTTAACCCTTTGTGGTGTTTGTTTTAGTTTTTTTTCGAATTACGTATCATACGTTCCGTTCCCTTACTTCCAAAGGCATTTATAAAATAAGCGCTTTTTAAAAATATCGCAAAAAATTACGTTTATCAGTTAAAACTCTATTTTAAAATGAAGGACTCTAGTATAAAAGTAGAAACAATTGTGATCTATATAGTAGGATTCTAACGAACTAACTGCTTAGAGCTAAGGATGCGATGGACATGACTACGGCTACCGTTGTCCACTTGTGCTGTATGGTCGAGGCCTTATCTGTGGGATAAATGGATCTGATTAAAGAAAAGGAACTAAAAATATATAGCTTATATTGATCTGGTAATAGGTATATTTAAAGCAAGATATTCGCAGTCCTTTTGAAATTAAATATTAAAATGTAGTAGAAAAACAGTATTCATTGTTAACCCATTTATTTATTTCCGTATAGGTAAATAATAGTATTATTTTTTATATGATTCTGCTAAAATTCTAATTTCCCGAGACCAGTTTGTAATGTCCCCCCACCCCGTTTACCTGAACTTACCATAGAATATAGTCTCCCGGCGCTTAGTGTAGTTCGTGCCGGACAGGATAAATGCACAGGTGATCGGGGTGGGGGATTCGATCTGATCTCTAGGAATACGGGAGCGCACGGTCATGCTGTAGAGACCACTGGGGTCCTGGTCCAAATGCGTCAGTACGGAGTCCAGTATGTGCGTGTTGAACCTGGCGACAGAATTAAATGCTGGGTTATTCAATTTCAGTCGCCGTGGGGGATCCACGGAGCGCTCAACTTACATGACCGATACCAGAGGCTGGGGGAAGACGTGCTGGACCGCACACATGATGTCCACGTCCGCACGCGAGCTGCCCATCCTAGCCTCCAGCATGAAATCCGATTCAGGAACTGGCCGTTTGAAAAAAGGGTGGCATCGGTGTTGGAAGGAGCCGAAAAAAAATCCGTGAGAATTAATCAAGTGTCAAACTAAACAATGAAGCAAAACAGCAACAAAAAGATAAAACGAGAAAACACCAAAAAAAAATAAAGAAAGACATAGTGTTCCAAAGAAAGGAATAAAACAAGACAAACAAGCCATGGTTCCGGTAACCGCAGGGACGGCCACCTGACACGCATGCAAATATGAGGGGGAATCGCACGTGCCAGCCGGGCTCTACCCTTTGGCCTCGCACACGGGGAGAAAAATGTCAACGCACACGGCTGACTTTGTAATTTGAATTCCTGCCCCAATGTACTTGGAGAAATAAGACAGACATAACCAGAAACCATGAACTAAACCTAAAATCACAGGAGTTACTTGTTTACCCCAAATAAGGGTAGTAATTATTTGTCCTAAATTAAGTTTACTTTGAATAACTTCAGTCTGCACTTTCATTATTTATGGCTGGAGCAATTTTTCTTGGCCATCATGAAGATAATTCATGGCAAAAGTTTGACAAAAATAGAAAGGAACTTGCAAAAATAGGTAACTTGTATAAACTGGCACACTGCCAAGATGACTTTAAAAAGGAGGTCTTTCTGTATGTGTGTTTACTACACATAGTTCGACGCTCTCCGGTCTGGTCTCCGGTTATTAGTGCCTTCCTAGCTTTTCTAATTTAAATTCCCCTACGCAGACATTTTCGGTGATGTTTGTTTTAAGTACATAAAACATAATTTCCATCTTTCTGTGTACCCAAACACCTAAGCAAACACAAAATGGGCACCCGACAAAGTCAAGGTGTCGTAGTGCAGTTGGGAATTTTGCGGCTGGGGGGTAGGAAGTCCTAGTGCAGGACCCACCACCACTACTGGGACGAAAGCCAACGGCAAAGGAAAAAGCACATCCTACATCTTACACTTCCTTCGTGACACCCACCGATTATTTGCAAGCGGGCACTCCGCTTATCCGTGGACTCGAAGGTCTGCACCGCGCACGTGTACTCCCCTGTCATGTTCCAGTCGGGATTCTTTATCGATATAACACCGGGCCCACTGCCCTCCATGGTGAATATTTTGGTGTCTATCTTTGACTTCATGAAGCCCTATAATGAAAAGAATGCGGAGAAAGACAAAAACGACCGCGGCATTGGCATTACATGTTAATTATTTAACCCCGTTCGACCCCCGACCTGACTCACCATGGCGAACCCCTTGACCGAGGGTATCCACTGGTAGATGGAGTGGTTGTTGAACAGCCACTTGAGGACGAATCCCTGCTCTCCGGCATCGATCTCGACCTCACAGTCAAGGACCAAAGGTGCAGGCTCCTGGTTGCGCTGCAGAGTGTAGGTACGCGGCACCCTCAGGTTGGTGATGCGCACCGACTGGGTGACTAGATATGTTCAGAGATTAGGTACTAACTCAGGATTCTAAAGATTCTAGAAGTCCCACCTGTGAGCAATGCCAGCCAGGCCACAAAAGTGGCACTGCGTCCTCTCCAGCCCGCCATGGAAACTGCCAGCGAGATGGTCCTTTTGTTTTTTGAGTTTCCCGCTTTACTCTAGAGGGTTTGTTTTTGTCCTTGCCAAGCACTGTGGTATATACTTATCGTTTATCCTTATTTACGTAGACATGGGGGCATTTAGTCACGCTCATTATCACAGAAGTCAGTTGGGATTTCGGGGGATGACAAGTGCTTTTCTTGGCCCACCGATGAGCTTAGCACCTGTACGGACGACTGGCGGGAGGACATCTCGCGTTCAACTCGCAACTAAGGCCATTAAGTTTAACGGCCTGGGCCATTCAAAGTTTTTCCACAAAAACACAGCACTATTTGGTCTAAAAGGAAAATGGACTCGTAGTTTGGAATGTGCGGGTGCCAGAATTCGGTCCGTAGGGCCGAATTGTGCCAAGCGGAGTGGAGTTTGCCGCTCGGCTGCTGCTGCTGATGCTAATGCTGATGATTCTGCTCCTGGCAGATACGAATAGTTAGTGTTGGCACTGTTACGGTTATGCTTCCAGACGAAGCTTTTAATGTTTTAACACTGGAAGGCCCAGCGGCGTCTAATGAGAGCCAGAGTCGGAATGGGAGCTTTTTGGTAAGCGACACCACACGTCTCCTTTTGTCCTTTGAGCCAAAAAACAGCTGGCTGGCGAAAAGGACGCATGCGCCCTTAAAAAATCACGGTTAAATCAGGGTTGCCATATCCAAATTATAAATATCGTACCGAAGTTTTATAAAAATATATATTTTATTGAAAGTACTTTTGCAATTGTCGTACAGATAAACTTAGGGCTAATTTACGACTGACCAAGCTTGAGTTAATTGTCTTCCTTGTCGTCTCGGGATTGAAGCTTTCCAAGCTTCCCTAAGAACTTTCCGAAGTTAATTCCGAAGATAATTCCGAAGTTAGAACCCGAATGATTTTGCTGCGATCAGCATGGAAAATTTGGCTAGCAATTGGAATGCCAAAAAGGGGAATCGCGGTGGCATGATTCCAGCGGATGTTTAGTCTAATATTGTTTTGCTGGTGCCGACCGAATAGGGGGAGTTTGTTTATGTTTATGAATGACTCAAGCTTGGCTTGCCGTTTATGTTGTAGGTGCGAGTGTGGGGATAAATGTGTAAGAGCTCGTGGGAACTCACTGCTCGTGGGAAGTGCAGAAATAATTGTTTATAATATTAATATAGATTAAACTTCTAGTTAATTTCCATGCCAGAGGTGCTTTGGAGGGAAATTCAAAAGGATTTCAGACTCAGGATTTATAAAACTGACGGCTTTATTTATCAATCTTTAGAGATTCTCCAATAACCAAAGCAATATCTTCTTGTATTATATAGTTTATTAAATTTTCAATAACATCAGCAAAATTCTTAGACTAAGTTATAGTTAATAGTGTTCCTCTTGATCGGATGTGTTACATTTACACGCACACACACGCACACTTACACATGAATAGTACTTGTATGTTATAGATATAGGTCCTGAACCCAGAATCCAGTATCCAGAATCTAGAATCCCGAAACCAGATCTCTAGAATTCACATTAAAAGTATGCTATAAATGTGCAATGCATCGGGCTTACAGAGATACTATATGCATATGTCTATATGCGCCGATATACTCGTGGACTGGGCAACTATAGCCGTGGCTGCTTAGCTTTGGTCGCATTTTAAAACTCGTGTGCTGGCTGGCCTCCTAAATCCTACAGATACAGATACGTACATCTACTGATCACTACTGGCTGCTGGGACTGGGATCGGTTTGATTTGATGCGGGAAGTTAAAACGTGCTTAGATCGAAACTGAAATCACCATTTAATTGGACTGTACACTAGCCAAAAGATTGGGCGTTCCCCTTTAGTCGCTGGCCTCCTCCTGGCCGCCGCCCTGGTGCAAGTGGTGACCAATCAGGGTCTCGATGCGGAAGTCCTTGGCGCTGGTCTGCTTGCTGGTCCTCAGGACCAGGGGTTCGCTGTCGAAGCGGGTCCTTGGGCTGGAGGCTATTCGCGACGGAGAACTGTTGGAGGCCTCGGCATGGTCGAAGATCAGCGCGTCTGGCGGCGCATCCAGACGATTTGTGCAGGCGCTGTCCACCGAGTCCGATATGTGTGAATCCTCCTGCTCGTTGCCGCTCTCCACGTCGATCTTGTCCTCGCAGGAATCTTCGTCTGCGTCGGCTTCAGCATCCACTTCAGCCTCCGTGTCCGGATCGTCGTTGTACGAATTGAGATCCATGTAGCCGCCGCCTGGAAGTGCATCCCTGTAGTTCGGATGGCCGGGAATACCACCCGCAGCACTGGCCATAGTCGCCACATCGAAAGGGTAGGGGCTTTTGTACTTGGCGGCTCTGCTGCCCTCAGACCCGGCTCCTGATCCGCCGCCCGACCCGCTGCTGTGTGGCAGTGCGTCCAGGACATCCCGACCGCCCCGATTGATGAACGGCAGGCGATCGAACTTGTCTCCCGACTGGTTTCCTCCGTAAAACGAGGCCTCGGCGTTGGCAAAGAAGTTAAACTTCTTGTCTGCTCGCAGAGCGGAATCGAATATATCCGCCGGGTTGTGGACCACATCGAAGTCTCGGCTTCCGTTGAAATTTGGAACATTGAAGTGAACCGGAACCAGCGGCACTGGTTTACGAATCCAAAATGGCGATAGTGTGCCGAATACCGCCGGAAACGAAAACCGCTGCATGGTGGGAGCCCTTTTGTATCGCTTCCGCCGCCGCAGGAAACTACCATTATCGAACATATCCTCCGCCAGCGGATCCAGGGTCCAGAAGTTGCCCTTGCCAGGATTTCCTGGTTCGCGGGGCACCTTGATGAAGCAGTCGTTAAGGCTTAGGTTGTGTCGGATGGAGTTTTGCCAGGCGGGGAACTTATCCTTGTAGTACGGGAATCTGGAAAGGTGACCAGATGTTGTATTTTTGAGAACTCAATTCAAGTATGATTTAAAAACTAAGATATATACGAAAGTAAAAGAAAACATGGAGTGGAAGCCATTGTTACTCAAATAAGTATGCAAGAACTTTATCCTCTTTGGATTAGTTCGATTACCAGTTAATATTATAAATTTCTTATTAAATAATATCATAATTTTTAAGTTTTAACATATTTTAGTCAATTGAAAACATTGTAACTTCACCTACCGTGACATAATAAAATCACAGATCCCGCTAAGCGTGAGTTTCTTGTGCGGAGACTGCAGAATGGCCATGGTGATGAGGGCGATGTAGGAGTACGGCGGCTTTACCAACGGACCGCCGCTAGACCCCGAACCGTCTCCGACACCAGAGCCACTCCCGCTGCCGCCGCTGCCCAGAGCCGACGGCTCGATGTCGCTGTCGTCACAGGCCATGGACATGGCGTCTGAGACGGCGGCGGCTCGCGAGGATCCGTTTCCGCCGGACGATCCTCGGTGGGTTTTGTGCAGCGGCGGAGAGAGCGAGACGCTGTCGTGGAGTGTATGCATGGGATCCGTGCTGGTGTGCATCTTGTGGAGATTGTAGGATTGGCTTAATTTTAATTTTTAAGAGGACGCAACACTTTATTTTATTAAATTGGTTGGGCTTTGGCTATTTTGTTCAGGAACTGTGTTCTTTTTGTTTTCTGTTTCGTGCCGCACTAGCTTCACTTGGCATTTGGATTTTTAGCTTTGACACCGTTATCATTTAACCGTTGTAATGGCCGCTTCCGTTTCCGATTCGCTATTAAGGATAACTGTACACGCGGGCCAGCAGCGGAAATGGGCAGAAGTTTCGAAGCGCGTCCGTGTGAGGCGGAATCCGCTGGCCAAATGTTAACTGAATCGCAACGAAAACGAAAATCTTCTCGCCCAAAATGTTTTTCTACATAACTCAAACATTTATTTATGAAAAACCGCTGCCATTGCCGCTGCCGCCGACGTTTCCCTGAGCTTTTGTGTTGCCGCTGCTATGTTTTCGTATCTCGAATAACTGTGATTCTACTGCCGGCGTCAACGACAACTGCGACAGAGGCAGAGGCAGCATCCCTGCGGAGCTGCCAACAGAGCACAGTGGCCAGAGCGAGACCAGGACCTCTCGTTCTCTTCTGGGGGATGGGATGACATGAACCAATCTATGGCGCTCTCGTATTCGCCATCTCACTTTCGCTTGCTTGCCGTGCAAGGATATCCATGTACGTGTGTGTGTGTGTGTGTCACGTAATAACATAAAATGGTGGAGTGCTGCCTGTAAATGTGATATTTGTGTTTTCCTCTCCAAGCGGCGGCAAATTGGCAGAAGCCAAAATTCAAGGATGGTAGGTAGGTGGATGGTGGGTGGCAGGCTGGCACGTAGGGATGGAGAGTCCTGCCCAGCAGGAGGGAGCGGGAGGATAAACATTTTGCGCAAATTTAGATACCTTTTGCAGCTTTGACGTCGTGGCTCTTAATAATGTTTCATTATGTCAGCCACATGGAGGCAGGCATTCGTCTCTCTTTCGGCCCTCCTCCTGGCCTCCACCTACCGCCCCCTGGCCTTCCCTCCTGCCGTTCAAATGTTAGCATTTTTATGTGCGAATGTTTTTCTAACCGTATGTCGACGTTTCTCCGGGTTTCTCTCGGCTTCGCATTCTCATTCATGTCCCTCCCAGGCTCCCCCTAGTATTCTTTTTTTTTTTTTGGTAGTTGCCCGGAGAATGGGTATTGTATGCGCCATTTTTGCCAACATCCTCTAAACACAATGGTAAGATATGGCTGGAGAAGGAGCGATGGGAGGACCATGGAGCAGAAGTAGTTTTGTATACTGTAGTGTACATGTGTTTGCTGCATTTGTATCCAAGTGAGTTTTGTATTATTTCTCTTTTTCATTTTCGCTGTTTTTGTTCTCCAGTTGTTAGACATTATTGTTGTAGTTGTAATAGTAGCAGTAGCTGTAGTTGTAGTCGGTGGGTGGGTGTGTGTTGGTTGGGTGTTTTGGGAGCCTTCCCTTTTCAAATTAAACATTCAGTAGTCACTTTTATTTGTTGTACTTTGTTCAAATTAGTTTTCCAGTTTTACGGAAGTTACATACACACACAGGCGCACTCACAAACACACACACACACACATACAGAGAGAGAAGTAGACGTTCGCACACAATAATGGCCGCCATCTTTCTATTCAGGACAATATTGATATCGCCTCCTCCTCTTGGCATCGTTTTCATTATTCTATTTTAGCTTTGCCATCCCCCATCCCCCATCCACCCCAGCCCCAATCCACCCTCCTCTGTTACACTTGCGAATCAATGATTTTTTGGCTAGATTTTGAGGGGCGTGGCATTCCGATTCCGTTATGTATCCTTAGCCCCATGTAGTTGTATTGGTATTAGGAAGGTTTTAGAAAAGGGCTCTCTCTGCAGGATATTGGCATTTGTCCGTTGAGCCATTTAGTTGCGGAAAATTTATTGCGGTGGGTATCTCCCCCCTTGGTCTTCTTTATGAGCAAACAAAGGATTTTTATGCTTCTGGATCAAAGTTGTTCGAGCAAGGATACGTAATCAAGTTTCTTGATTTTGGTTATTTTTTTTTACTAA